GCTGATGTTCTGTCACCCTTTTTGAATATGGGTACTACATTTGCCTGTTTCCACAAGTCTGGCACAACTCCCGTTTCTCATGATTTTGTAAATAAATTTACGAGGGGTCCGCTAATCTGTTCCCTACACTCTTTCAAATCTCGAGGAAAAATTTCATCCGGCCCTGGGGATTTTGTCTTCTTTAATTTATTTATCTTCTTAGGAACATCCTCTTTTCTGATAGTGATATTCTTTAATTTCTCTTCTTCATTTCCCTAAATATCAGTGAATATCTTGCGAAGGTCACAAATATTTTTTTCCCAACAGTAAATACGGTGATAATGGAAAGTAAACTATTTATTTGACCATTATACTTCACTTGACTATGTAATAATTTATAGCACAAAAGTATATTATTCTACTTGTCGAAAATATCACCTTTACACTGGTGATTGGAGGTTGGCAAGTGAGTTACCTCCCGCCACCACCACACACAGTTCCCCACCACCACCATTCCTCCACAGTGACCAACTGATGTACTCTAGATGGATCTGATTGTTCCTGGCTACAATATTTGACTGTCAGGTGAACAAGGTAACACCGCCTCTTACACTGGGATTTAAAACGCTCATAGAAATCGTGTTTGGTTTAAACAAGATAAAATTATGAAATCACGAAGATATGGCAGCAGCCCATCTTATATCACCTGAAGATTAACTACCCTAACACCCCCCCCCCCACCAAAAGTGGCACTTCTGTGTATAACAAGTAAAATCTGATTGGGTGCCTAATCTTCACGTGATGGCTAATGTCGAGCTGAGTTTGGCTGCGCTGAGTGGTTAGTTGCTTATATTGTTACATACGTTTTAGCCTAAAAGTGCTGTTTACATTTTGTTCCCGACAATCATAGACCACTTAGAACACTTATGAATACACCAATGAAGACTGAAGGCATAATGTACACAGTTGAGACATCTCTATTACGCCGACTGGGAACAACCACTTATAAGGTTTGATCATGGACACGATTAGGTGTTAATCTAATGTTCATAATCCTCTAAAGCCGTGTTAAAGGACTCCGTATAAATGCTAAACCGGATAATGGTCTAGGGGAGAAGGTCGGGTTAATCACCGTGGGTGGTCGCCTTGTTCTGGTACCTAACCTTAAACTCCTACAACCAAATCACGTTGAAATGGATTTCTACCCCAGTGAAGCTGTCAAGATCATTCAGTATAATTAAGTCCCAGTCATCAACATTTCTATACAATTAATGGGCTATCGAATTGACGTAGATTGGAGAGAGAAATAAGTTGTAAGGGAAATATACACAGCGACATACCTTATATTTTTCAACACCAACACACACATGATGGCGTCTGTATTTTATAATCCTTGACAACTGGATGTATTAATTTAGGAGCATTTTGTAAACGTTAACTTCCGTCACACATCCACTAATCGCCTTGACCATCTCACTACTGGCCGGCTCCCTCCTTCCACGTCTGGCTGTCTCTGGTCTAAAATTCATCCACATGTCCACCACACACTGAACCATCTCCAGTACGAACATACGCTGTTGTGGTGTTGAAGCACATGATATAAAGCGTCACTTGCGAACCTTAGTAATAGCACTTAATCGGATGGCTGGCGTGGCCATATTTGTTTTGCTTAATTTGACACCATAAGAAAGTGCCGATACCTCCCAAAGTGATAACTGAGAGCTCGACTCCCAGACACTGAACCACCCGATCGAAACTTCTATCTAACCGACGCTCTTGTAATGATAAGGACCAGATATTACATGTAAATACTCATTAACAGAAAAACTGAGTTGCTTCTGCAAGACGTAATGGGAAACGTTTTTTATTCAGCTGATCAACAAAAATCAAAGATGGTTCAGAGAAATGTGGCTCCAAGTTCGACTCCTGATTCAGCGCTTCGTTTGTGGTGCCCAGCCACTCAGAACTCTCGATACAGATTCAGCGCTTCGTTTGTGGTGACCAGCCACTCAGAACTCTTGATACAGATTCAGCGCTTCGTTTGTGGTGACCAGCCACTCAGAACTCTTGATACAGATTCAGCGCTTCGTTTGTGGTGCCCAGCCACTCAGAACTCATGATACAAACGACAGGTTGACATATTCCCATAGGTAGAGGTTCTGTATGATGAATACATTCTGAATAAATTACACGTAATGTCATGTAGATAATCAAAATTTATTGCATATGCCAAACAAAGATATTTTTTTTGGTATATTACGATATATTTATTTCTATGAGAAAATCTACAAAATGGCGTAAACGAACCGAAATAACCACTAATTTGTACCAACTGACAATGCTGGTAGTCAAGGAGGGCGGGGGAGAGGGCTCAGGGGTGGTAATGTGTGGTGTGTGTGGTAATGTGTAGTGTGTGTGATGATAGATGGGATGATGATGATGAATGATGACGATAATGATGGCGTATATGTGATGACGACGATGATGATGAATGATGTTAAATAATGAATGATGATGATAATGATGGCGTATATGTGATGATGAATGATGATAAATAATGAATGATGATAATGATGGAATGATGAATAATGATGATGATAATGATGCTGCTGAATGATCCCAGTTATTATAAGACAAACACGCAAACACTAAATCACACCTTGGAAACCCATAGTTGATGAGTAATTAGCATTGAAAAATGTCAGTAAAATCTTTCGAGGGTCATTTTGGCCACTAATTACTTGCAATCGAATCGTGGACCACATATTCATCAAGAGCAAGTTCAGGAGTACCCATACTGTGATTTTCAGCAAAATCTAATTTTTGGCCAAAAACCACCAAAAATGTAAGTCTATAACCTTACAAAATTTTTGACCAAAATATACTTTTTGCTCAGAATTGAAATTTAAGGGGTTTAACAAATTAAATACTTTCGGAATAACACGCAAACCCTAGATCACACCTTGGAAACCCATAGTTGGTGAGTAATTAGCATTGAAAAATGTCAGTAAAATCTTTCGAGGGTCATTTTGGCCACTAATTACTCTGCAATCGAATCGTGGACCACATATTCATAAAGAGCAAGTTCAGGAGTACCCATACTGTGATTTTCAGCAAAATCTAATTTTTGGCCAAAAACCACCAAAAATGTAAGTCTATAACCTTACAAAATTTTTGACCAAAATATACTTTTTGCTCAGAATTGAAATTTAAAGGGTTTAAGTAATTAAATATTTTTGGTATAACACGCAAACACTAAATCACACCTTGGAAACCCATAGTTGATAAGTAATTAGCATTGAAAAATGTCAGTAAAATCTTTCAAGGGTCATTTTGGCCACTAATTACTCTGAAATTGAATCGTGGACCACATTCATAATCAGCAAGCTGGCCTATTTGTTATTAGAAATACTGTACTGTACTGTGTCAGTTGAAGCAATAATGAGGGACAACTTTCTTCTATTTACAGGGATTAGCCCACACGAGGACAGGGCGAGTTTTTGTTTTTCATTCGTGAGGACAGGTACCCCCCCATATGTTCTACTGTCCTTCAGTGACATATTTGAAAAACGTCTACACACCTTATAAAACGGGATCACAAATACTTACAAAAATGCTAAAAGAGCTCAGGACCCGCCTGTTCTTTAGTCTGTATTTTTCTAGGTCATTTCCCAATCAAGCGAGACCCTGATGCTTACATTATTACCGAAATTGTCAGCAAAATCGAATTTTCGGCCGAAACTGCAGAAATATACTTCTTTCGGAATTGAAATTTAAGGGGGTTAAGTAATTGAGTACTTCTACAACAAAAAAGCACCTAAATTGCACCTTGGAAACCCATAGTTGGCAAGTAATTAGCACTGTAAAATATCATTAAAATATTTCAAGCATTATTTCGGCCACGAATTTCCCCGCAATCGAATCGTGGACTAGATTCCGTATCAGCATGCTCAGGATTACCTATACTGTACTGTGTTGGGTAGGAGTGAAGAAAATATGCACTAGGATATGTAAATTGACAGAAAGACTTGGTGACCTACTGTGGTGTGAGTGAAGGTCTTACTGCAATGTAAAGGAGTGAGGGAAGAACTTACAGTAATGTATAGGGGTGACAGGAGGACTTGTTGACCTACTGAGGAGTAAGGAATAGTCCTACAGAGGTCACAAAAAGAGTGAAAGTACGCGATAAAACTCGAAAAACCATAACTGCTCAAAAAGGCAAAAAACACAATGTAAACAAAAATAAAAAACCTGTGATAAAACGGAAAATAAAAAACCTGAATGACCACGCACATACATACCAAATGTAAAGTAAGGAAGGTACACGAAAATCTATACCTGTAAAGGCATGACCCCCCACCCCCCCACAATCTCACCAGCCCTGCACTTCTCCCCGTGAAGAAAGCCTAATGCAGTATTACTGTACAAAATCGTAATACAGGTTGACAATCCCTCAACCGAAATCTTTGGGGACAGGCATTTCAAATTTTGGAATTTTTCGGTTTTCGGAATTTTTTTTTTTTTGTATTAGCCTACCCGGGCACAAGTCACTGACCCACATTGGGGCCTGGGTGGCAAAAATATAATAAAAATTATAATAACTAACAATTCATAGGTCTAGGTCGTGTTTCTCACTTTTGATCTTTTTTTTCATTCTTGTATTTCTTTATTATTTTATTATTACAGTATCATTGTTATTATTATTATTTTTATGATCAAATTTTATTATTATTAATATTAATATTATTATTATTATCATTATTATTATTATTTTCTTTTGGCATATTTTTTAAAATTTTTATTTACTATGAATAATTATTATTATTACATTTTCGCCCCCAGGCCCCGATGTGGGTCAGTGATCTATGCCCGGGTGGGCTAATCCCTGTTTTAAAAAAAAAAAAAAAAAAAAAAATTGGAATTTCGGATAAAGGGTTGTCAACCTGTATCTTTAGTTTATTGACAAATCAGTACAATAGTCTGATATCTCATTATCACCCACATACCATTGAAACAAAATCTTTTAACATTTTTTATTAAAACCACTGGATTAGGGTGACAAGTAATGTTAAAGCATGTTGCAAATAAACTTGTGAAGTCTTTTAAGCATTCGTCATGACTTCACACACAAAAAATATAAGAAATTAAGATGTGAGGTAAAGCAATTAGACATACAAGATTAGCTTACATCAATCCTTCTGCTCTCAGAGATTACATAATTTTGTTTATTTGATCAACCAATTTAACCATTAAAGGATTCACCAGGAGTGCGAATATCGTCTATCTTGAGAATCATTTTCACAAGCTGGGTGGCAAGAAGAATCTGCTGTTTCTTGCTGTGCAGTGTCTCAATCACATGCTGCTCCTTCATATCTGCAATAAAAATTAAGTCAATTTTTACCACCAAAAATACATGTCCAAGACCAAGATGGGAAAACCATACTGTATATACTTAGTGCTATGGTTTATGGTTCACATCTCTAGTTTTGACAGCTTTACATTGAAAACATTAATGGAAAATTGCCCAGTGGGTGTTTCATTTTTGTGATTACATCCATCTCAAAAGTTATGACTTAAAACCTTCAATTTACTTATTGCCTCTTCCCACACCCAAACAATTAAGGTGTGGTACCCATGGGACTGACAGCTTAGGTGCAACACTAAATGAAATTAACATTAGAATAAGTAAAAAGTTCACTTCAATTAGTAAAAGAGCTGATACCAACCACATGTTCCCTTGCTATTGCAGTCGATGCCTAATGATGGATTCTTTTCTGAGATTTGGCGGGCCTTGCAGTCAGCCAATGTGTGAATGGGAGACAGACCAGAGTTCTCAGCAAGGGAAAGTGGAATGCTCTCTAAAGCATCAGCAAAGGCACGGAAAGCATACTGCTCCAGGGTTGAAATCTGAGAGAAGAAAATCAACAAATAAAAAATGTGATAGTGACCATGCAAGTCACATTTTTAATATTTTCAAACTAGAGTAACACAGTCACTCAACCATTGATCACCGCCAAAAGGTTACCCCCATCTTTAACTGTCAATTCACCTATGGAAGAAGAAAAAGAATCCCTTGAGGACAATTGTCTTTGTATGAGAAACCCACGTTTAAAGTACCAAAATTATTTCTGGAAAAGAGGAGGAGAGAGGGGATTTAGGGGGTGGGGATGATACTTATGAAATTCTGGCACAAGTGGGAGCTTGTTGAGGTACTGCATCATGTTTGCAAAGTTAACTAAATTCCCTTACCCACTATTTGTCATACTCCCTTGACACTGGCGGTAGACAATACAGTAATAGAGAAAATCACGTAAAAGAAGATATGCAGCAAAAGCTTACCTTATCGGCTTCTTCCGATACAGCCAAAGCACAAGAGACCTCTGAAGCACCACCTCCGTACACAATTTTGTTGTTGCGTACCAAGTTTCTTACTACACAGAGGGCATCATGAATACTGCGCTTAGCTTCCTCAATAATCATCTTGTTTCCTCCACGAATGAAAATTGTCACAGCCTTAGTGTTGGGACATTTTTCAATTACCAACATCCTGTCTTTGGTGGTTCCAAAGGTCAATTCACGTACTGTTCCACAGGTACCTAACTTCTCTGGAGACAGCTCCTCAAACCGAGGAACAATCCGACCATTAGTGGCTATGGCAATAAGTTCAATCTCTGGTCCACCCACCCATCTCACAGCAGGCAATTCCTTTTGAAGGAGAAGGTGGTTGGCTTCATCATCAAAGCCCCACTGGCAAATAGCAAGGTTAGCTCCAGTTGCCTTCACCTTGTCCACCATATCTACAAATTGTTTTTGCTCATATACGTGTAGAGCATTGTACTCCTCCACACTGCTAATTTCAAGCTTATGCTTTGTCTTAGGCTTGGGAGGTTCAAATGGGCAAGTGAGAATGGCCATCTTGACATCCTTTAATTCCTTTGGCATCTGAGGATGGGAAAAGTCTTTATCTATGACAACACCTCTCACCAACATTGTGTCTTCCAGTTTACCACCAACTTTCCCTTCCACCTTAATGAGCTCAAAATTAACATCCCGGGTACTCATATCAGCCACAGCCATTACCGCATTCACAGCAATTTCTGCCATTTGCCTATGGCAGCGATTAATAATCTTGGAGCCAAGTGTTGTCATGGCAGTTAAAATTAAAGGTTCAAGGTTGTTCATGTCAACTGGGAACTCGTCAGCAATATTTTCCAAATTTTCAATGGCTTTCTTAGCAGCTAGCTCGTACCCATCAGCAACACGAATTGGGTGGATACCTTTATCCAATAAGTATTCAGCCTTTTCTAATAATGCTCCAGCCAAAACTGTAAAAAAATTAAATAAATACATCAGTTCAAATAAAATTGGAAAATTTTGTTTATACCAAACTGATCATGAATAGTTTATATATACAGTATACACTACCGATTTTCCGGAAACTGATGGTCCGGCACATTGTTTAGTCCAGACAAATTTACTAGAGGGCATTTGAAATTCCCGTGACTGCCAGACTATCATTTATACTAATGTATTTCATTAAAATATTTACTTCACATTTTATTTACATTTAGCATTTGTTTAATTAATAATCCAGTTTCATTGATACTAATAAACTTGTATCATTTATACTCTTGTACAGGTATTTCATTTAATCATTTGATTTACATTAATATTTTTTTATTTACATTTCTAGCAGTCCATGGTGCTTTAGAGACACAAGAGGTGCAGTGTTGAATTATTATTACATGACCTCGGTTGGTCCAGCAAAACGGATAATCAGGCAAGGCTTTGGACCCAAGGGTGCTGGAAAATTGGTGGTGTACCTGTATATACAGTATGCTTTGCTATTATGGTTACTCAGCATCTTTATGGATGGGGTAAGAGGCAAGCTGAAAGCTATAATAATAATAATAGATTAGAGAACAAGTTTGGTAAATCGTGATATGGGATGCATATGGGAAGTACGGGTATGTTTGTTGCACTTAACATGACTGTCCTTTTTAAGTGAAATTTTAAACATTCAAAACATTGTGAATGAGTTTGGAAATAGGTTTATCAGCAAACAGATCCATGTTGAATGAAATAACAGTAATGGAGGGAAGGAAATTATAAGACACTGAGAAATGTATGGAGAGAAAGAACAGCATCAAAAGAATGAATGATGGGGCGATAAAAGAAAATCAGTAGTGTGTTATTTTCATGTGCTTTGGCTGGCTATTGTCAAACAGTGGAAGGAACATGGGTATCAATTAAAAAGTACTGTACTGTACTGTACTATACAGTCACACAGTAAACATACCCACAACACCAGTAGTTCCATCACCAATTTCATCATCCTGTGACTGGGAAAGTTGCACCATCAATTTAGCTATTTGGTGCTCCACATCCATCATCTTCAATATTGTAGCACCGTCATTTGTCACCGTAATGTCACCATCAGGGCTCACCATCAGCTTGTCTAAGCCTTTAGGACCCAATGATGTGGTAAGGATAGATGCCACACTCCTGGCAGCCAAGATATGAGACTGAAATGGTATTAAACATCATTACAATTAGAACCATAAAATAAAATATCCAAAATCTACTAAAAGTTCTAATTGCCCATAGAAGCAATGTCATTTTCTGGGTTTAGGTTCTGAATGCCTCACAAAACCCAAATTTGACTAATATTCCACCTACAATAAAGATATACATACACCTTTGACTTTCATAGTACTGTTCTGTATGTATCACAAACCATAAAATTTCTACATATATAAGCATTCAGATATGAAGCATACATGTTTTGTTTTATATTTGCTGATATACTGTAGTACAGGGGGCCCCCAAGTTCGCGGATTTTTATTTTGCTGTCCACTGTTATTCACAGATGACACCATTGATATACCCAAGAATGTTTGTGGGCAGTTTTAACATTGCAGGCATTTTCAAGGCTGGGACAGGGAGCCATTGGTTCTATACAGTAATTTCCTTTACCTGTATTGTAAATGTGTGTGTGTGTGTGTGTGTGTGTGTGTGTGTGTGTGTGTGTGTGTGTGTGTGTGTGTGTGTGTAGACACACACACTCAAAACACATACAGGTACAAATAAATAATAATTGGAAAATCCTCACAAATAATCAAAAACAAATTTATTAAAGATGTGACAGTCTACCCTCAAGTCCGTGCTTTTTAATAAAGCATGGACTTGAGGGTAGACTCACATTTTTAATAAATTTGTTTGATTATTTGTGAGAGTATGGTTGGCATGGCATGGTTGAATTTCATGTTTTTTGTGGACGTGAGACTACGCTCAGACCAAATAGCTCGACTGTTGCATGGAAACAAAAATGGGCAGAGAACAACAAGCGATGACACGGCAGATTTTTCGGAGGAATATATACAGTAAATAATTAATTTTCGGTAAATTTGCATAAGCGCACCCCACTCTGTTAGAAAGTCGAAAATATATTTTTCTAGTGTATTTGTGTGTGTTTAGACCAAATATGACCTTCATTTCCATCGGAAATATGCCGTTATTTTATCTATTTTTTTTTGGTGGGACTTTTAAAAAAAATAATGGCTAAGCGAATACAAAATACACCAAAAACACTACAAAAATATAAAGCAAACCTAACCTAACCGACACTAACCATATGACGGAATCACCTATTTCTTACCTTATTGCTGTCTCTTCTTTGTCTTTGGGATAAGGGACGAGTTAGGACAACGCCACATATGTTGTTTTTTGCAATATTTACATTCAGTCTTGCACTTAAGACACTTTACTGAGGTCGGGAAAACACCATGCGATCGAAAAAATGCTACAGTTTCTTCGCTTTTTTTCCCAAAAACTCGCAATCAGCTCCATATAATTTAAGTGACACCCATCACAGACTTCCATGGTCGGAAATGAATATGAATTGGGAAATATGAGACCCAAAATAAAAATTGATTTTGATTGGGCCAAAAATACCGAGAATTAAACCAAAAATCATTGTAATTGGTTGCAAAAAAAAAACGCTTTTGATTGGCCGCATGACGTGTACGGGAATGCATGCGTGTGATGATTTATGAAGGAGAGACGCAGTGTGGGAGGTGAGGTAGGCGATAATGGTGGAAGATTAATGGAAGAAAATAGAGAACATTTTGGATATGCTATCTCCGTTATTATACATGTGTGACGGTAATGTAATAGAAGAAAATTATCTTATAATTTGACGTCTTATTCGAATATGATAATAGATTAGTGGTAGGATTGTGGTGTGTGAAAATGCAATAATACCTAATTTTCACGTACAAAGTATGTATAGACATCATTTTAGTGTCATACCAGTTTTTCACTGTTTTACCCTGCAATTTTACTAGAGATAATCACAACCGTTATAACAAGTTTTGCCAAGACTCAATGGAAACGTCAAATAGTGAGTCATCACCTACCACCGGTACCTCAAACTCCTTTCATATTAATATCTAAAATGAAAGCGTTACTTCTTTGACTTGAGACAACCAATTACCCATGTAAGCATCAAAACCAGGTGGTCAACTACCCCATACGACTCTGTTTAACGATCATAGAACAATAAAACCCAGCACCTGCCAGCCGCCCCTCATCAATACCTTCAGTGCGTCAATTCCCGTCAGCCTCTTTTGTTGGTCCTGGTCCTTGAGGATGATGATGGGCTTCCCATACTCATCGAATATTAGCTGCCCCATCGCCGTCATGATGAAGATAGGGCCTCAAGGGAGGTCACAACCTTCAGATGATAAAGATATTCACAGATGAGTCGCAGGAGTGTGTGCCGCCTTCTGGTCTCCTCCCTGCAGCGGTGACTCAGGCCCCCTCTGTCGGCGGTCTGTGAACTACACCACCAAACAACCGAGAATCATCTGGAAGGCGACAAGAGCACACTGTTTTAACTTTAATTTTATATTAATATGCTTTATTCTAGATTAAAATAATACATTTTCTAGATTTTATTTTGCATTAATTTACTATATGACTATTCCTTTACTGATTTATACTTCTTAACTCATGTCTGAGCTAATTCAAAGTTTATTTGCCTTAATTCTCCAGAATAATTTATTATATTTTGCATTGGCATTGTATTGGGATAATTGATAAAAAAATGGAGGATTTTACTCAAAGGAAATAGAAATTTGTACTTGGAAATCAATAACTTATTAGGTGATCCAGATAGTTTTACAAAGCCTTTATGCTTAACATTTAAAAAAATTTGAGACATTAAAAAACAGTAACTTAACACTGATGACCAGAAGATTCTCGCTTTAATTGATATAAAATAGTAAATTACCTTAAAAACGGAATTGTTATTGTTTTCATGGACATCCTATATTTAACATTTGGTTCTGTTTATCCACTTTTATACAACATTGGACAACATAGTGTAATTTTTTTCGTCATTTATCAGCTCATTAACCGTCGGGCAGTTGGTCTACCCAGTACAGGAGGAAACCCTTTAACCCTCTGTTATGCTTGGGAGGATCACATTAGCACAACACCCTTCTCCCGCTCTGTAGCTAAATATAATTGTTTGGAAAAATAGGTGAACCAAAATACATGACATTAAAAATATTGTAGATTTATGCATCAGTTGGTCTCAAACATTGAATTACATTTTCTTAGTAAAATTTAAGCCATGATCAAGCATTTTTTTTATATACTGTAAGGGTGGAGTGTGTGTGGGGGAGCCTGGTGGACTGTGTGTGGGGGGCCTGGTGGACTGTGTGGGGGAGCCTGGTGGACTGTGTGGGGAGGGGTGGGGAGCCTGGTGGACTGTGTGTGGGGCCTGGTGGACTGTGTGTGTGGGCCTGGTGGTGGGGAGCCTGGTGGACTGTGTGTGGGGCCTGTGGACTGTGGGGGAGCCTGGTGGACTGTGTGTTGGGGGGGACTGTGTGGGGGGGCCTGTGGACTGTGTGTGGGGGGGACTGTGTGGACCTGGTGGACTGCCTGTGGACTGTGTGTGGGGAGCCTGGTGGACTGTGTGGGGAGCCTGGTGGAGCCTGTGTGGACTGTGTGGGGAGCCTGGTGGACTGTGTGTGGGGGAGCCTGGTGGACTGTGTGTGGGGGGCCTGGTGGACTGTGTGGGGGTGGAGTGGGGGGTCCTGTGGACTGTGTGTGGGGAGCCTGGTGGACTGTGTGGGGGGCCTGGTGGACTGTCCTGGTGGACTGTGTGTGGGGGGCCCTGGTGGACTGGGGGTGGACTATGTGTGGGGGCCTGTGACTGTGGGGGGCCTGGTGGACTGTGTGGGGGAGCCTGGTGGACTGTGTGGGTGGATCCTGGTGGACTATGTGTGGGGAGCCTGGTGGACTGTGTGTGGGGGAGCCTGGTGGACTGTGTGGGGGGGGGGCTGGTGGAATATGTGTGCATGAAGCAGTGTAGTATACACTGTAGCAGTATTGGTGATAACTTATATAAGTAAACTATTATGGATGAGATGATATGAGTAAACAGTTAGGGTCAGTTTAAGTACATAATAAATCGAAACATGTTGCAGGTCACAATTAATGTATTTGAAAGTCAGTGTAGAGGAAGTGACAGAACCAATCTTGAGCAAAATGTAGCATGCAGTTCTTGGACCATTGTGAGATGGTGAATCAAGAAACTAAGGTAGTACTATAGGTTTTATAAGGTTGTTCAGATATTTAGACGATCCTTCCCTCGTAACGTTTACAAGAGTGATGTGCTCCCATCTGAAGTTCTGGTCCCAGAGATGTGCTAGAGACTGTCAGTTGCTTGAGAAGGTTCAAATGAGCGCCACCAGACTGGTGCCCACACTATGGAACCTCAGTTACCCAGAGAGATTAGTACCTGCAGTTGCCTAGCTTTACTATAGCCAGGCAAGGGGTGAATTAATTGAAGTTTCTAAACATCTCAGAAGACAGTACTCGGTCGAGTGTTCATACCTGAAGCTGGCAGATGCCTGGCCCACTAGTGGTCACAGCCCAAGGTTGAAGAAGTCACAAGTTCAGAAAATTGTTTCAGCAATCTTTTCGTTGTGAAAATTGTAAACTCTTCGAGCAATCTGCCAGAGACCATTGTGGTGGCAGTGAGTGTGAGCTCATTCAACACCAGACTAGACAAACACTGGCACAGGTAAAGATACATTTAGGAGCCAGTGCATGCCCATTACTTTCCAACAGTGCATAACAGAGACATGACTGATCACCCAAGCAGCTAAAAAGCCTATCAGTGGGAAAGAAGATAAAATTACCAAAGTAAAGAGGATATAAATTAATTTAGGTTTGATTAAATTACACTATGTTTGGTTAAGTACTGTTCCTTCATAAGGAAAGGTCACTGGGAAACTTTCTGTCGCTTAGTGCTCAGTCGTTTCCTGGTAGGCATTGAGGTTGTTCCAAATTAAAATGAAAGTCATGAGTAACAAATGAAAACGTATATTTTTACACACACATAACAATTAAAATACATTACCATAATGATGACCCTGGAAAGAATAAAATAAATAAAGAACAGGAACAAAGAATAAATTTCCTGTAAATGTGAGTATCCAACCTTTCAGAAACAATCACATGGTATTATGAATAATGGTAAATAATGTCCCTAAACAGCCCAGTGTGAGACATCAAAACTATTGTGTTGTGAAGTGAGTGAGTAAACGTGATATCCTGCAGGTTATCCACTTAACTAGCATTAGCCGGGGGAGTATTAATACATGAGAAAAATAACTCAGAAATAAAATGGTTAGAAGAAATGGAAATTAAGGTATATTAAATGATACATTATGACTAGGGAGTTACAATGCCATATTACAAAACTGTATGAAAAAATCTACTAGGGAGTTTTACTGTAACTTATCATAAACTATTGTATATTATTCTATAAGGGTAATGTAGCATTGGTATTAACTGTCAAGTTTCTTATGAAAACTCTTAATAATGTGTACTGGGTATTTGTTAAATCTTCAGCACTGTATTGCCAAACATTTCTATTTCTTGCTGATAATGACTCAAGACTATAGGTACTGTAATCAAAAGTGCCAAATATACAAAATGCAAAGACTCATTTGATGTCTACGGTTGACGGTCTATGTTGCTGCTTTCTGGTTACTGTACTGTAGTACTAGTCATAAAAAAAATTAGTTTACAATGAAACATGCAGGCAAAGAGAGAAAATGAAACATTAACAATTAGAAAAGTTATTTTCCAAAACCATTAAGTGACACACTGTAACTTGCTAAAATATATTATGATAGTAGGTAATAGTAACAAGGGAAACATCAGAGACGGTACTGTACATTAATAAGTAATACTGAGGATAACAATACAATACAGTACTACAATAATGAATGATGTAAACACCCACAACTTAGTTCTAATTAATTGATGACATAGTTAAATTGATAATAATTATGAATAAAAAAGCATATGCCTGTACTCCTAATGCTTCTGATAATGCCTGTAAGAAACAAGGAAGTCTCAAGTCAGCCAGGTCTTAGAAAAAAGACCTCAGGTGACTGCAGAAAAAAATACAAAAAAATGTCTTAACATGTCCTGACTATGTATCATAATTGTAATTACAATACAATGCCAACATGAGTAACTCACTGGAAAATGTTTGCTCCATGACCTCTTCAGTGATACTATACTACTGCACCACTGGTCATGGAGTAAAGACAAAAGCTTGGGACTTTTGTGTTTTCATTTGACTGTACTATGAGATGTGAAGATATTATTACCATGGCACTATTGGGGAACTTCATCAATTTAAGTACAGTACTACATTACAATGACTACTGTATATAGAAGCCAAATGTTTGGAATAGGGAGATGGATACAACTGCTATGTTTATAAAATAGAATGGGCTGTAAATGCTGAAGATAAGAAAGGTAGTAGAGGATGAAAGGAGCCAGAAGTGAACCCTGGGATAGATTCCTGAAATACTGTATGTCTGAGATCTGAAACTACCGTACTGTAGATATGATTAATGAGGGCATACCTGGAAGACAATGGAGGAGCATTCAAGATAATACTGACTGGCAGGAAATTATTATATTTTAAAGTTATACTACACACTAACACACACATAGTGATGTGACAACAGTAATACATGTACGTAGTACTGTATTTACAAATGAGCTAGTGCACTCAAAAAGGTATCTGGCGTTGCCCAGCGGATTCTTCTTGCAGCCAATAAAGTTTAGACATTACAGAAATAAGTATTAATGTTGTATATTTTATAATTGTCATCAAATAAAATTCTTTTAGGACTGTATGTGTTTTAGGAACACAATGAACTGTTTTTCTATTGTATTCCACTACAGTATAATAATAACTCATACTAAAAAGCAGGTTTGTGAAAACTTAGTGTTTGCTGTTAGACATCTAATGTATGAGTCAACTACTGTGTTTTCTGGTAAAGTAGGTGTCTGGCATAAAAGTTAGGTGAGCAAATTTATGAAAATGTAATTCAAGGTAAATATGAATACCGTACTGTACTGGCTTTGCAGTTATACAAACATATGAAGTGTTAAATGTAGATTCCATGTAGGCTATACTGTAGTTTTAAAGTAAAACAACAGACACACAAATACAAGTATCTGTAAAGTTCTATTACCTTGAGTCATGTTGCACACAGTAAGTAACATGGTTGATGGAGATGAAAATGAAGACCCATCCTAGAGAATATCTTTCGTTTAAATTATACAGTATGGTAGTACTGCACATGAATACTTATTGCTAGCAAAGTGGATAACCTGTTCTTTCAATATGATAAATAGTGTCAATGATATACTGTATGTGATATATATCTGCAATGTACTGTACACTACAGTATATTGATTTGGTTTCATTAATTTCCAATGAACACTACATAATGGCTCAGACACACTGACTGGTTATTTGAACCAGGAAAATTGTTCATAACCAATGATGTACAGTACACTCACTCAAAAAACTATCTCTACTTGGGGTGGGGGCGATGAATTTCAGAAAGAACACTGCGACTCCTTCATCCAACGTGTTATAGTACTTTTTCAGCACAATTTTGTATAAATAGTTTTTTGAGTGATTGTACATGGCTTAGTAATAGATAAAATAAATTCTGGTCAAAATATATATAGATACTGTATACAATAATATGTAAAAATATACCTACAGTGCAGACAAGACATGATTGCCTATCTATTTTTACCTATTATAAAATATTTTGAAGGTTTTATACTGTAAATATGGATACAAAACCAAAAATTTTTTAAAATACTGTACTATGAATGTACTGTATCTCCATTTTGATGATGAGTGGTGATAAATTCTGCTTGTTTATGAATTTCCAGAATCCTTTTTATAATTTTTTTTAAAGTTAAATTAAAGGATCAGTGTCCTCTGTGTATCTAGACAGTCAAGGATAAATTAATTTAGATATATGATGCAGCAAGAGACCACGGTCCTGGTGCATTAGGCCAGTTTTATGTGATATCCTTCTTGTTACAGTATGGGACTTTCATAACATGGTAGATCAATTATATTCTGTTGTTACTTTGTTGTTTTGTCTAGTCATGCACATCTTAAGATCCTTTTACAGTTCACAGTGAAGCTAACCTCAGGTCCTGTGAACAACTTGCACAACCTTCTCTAAATAGCTGATGAATTAAAAGCAGCCATTGATATATTTAAACAACCAAACAAATATATGCATGGGACATTGAGAAGATAAAAAGTATTGGAACTATAAGTCTGTTCTAGTTCTTACTTACATTCATTGATTATAGGAATAGCTTACAACTAATCTGGAGTTTTAAAATGACTGCACAAAAGCTATTCCTAAGAAATATGGTTAAGCGTGCCAGACACTAGATTCCGTGGTAACAACAGCCAACACAAACTGTAATTACTGGCTTGCATTACATACTAATATACAAGAGTTTTCTCTTTGGTGACAGAGACTTAAGGAAGGAATGTGGCATTTGAAGCTGATTATTTATAAAACTATCCTTGGTAGCCTCTGTCACCATTTCTGATTTTATGACAAAATTGGTCATACAGTACATACCATTTTTATATCATTAAGTCCAAGGAATAATCAAACATCTGAGCTCCAAAATCTACATTAAGTAAAATTACTACATATGTTCTACACATGTGCAAATTTTTTTAAAATTTGTGCTAATGTTCAATTATGGATGCTGAGGCATTGGTTTACTTTGGTGATCATCTGAGTATAGAACAGGCTTATACAATTCAATAAATTTCTTTGCACACAAAACTAACTACGTAATGTGTTGTTGATGTCATACACCTGGAATTTTAATCACCGTCTTCCGTTGACATGGGTCATCCTGTTTACAACCAGAGTTTTACAAAATTTGAGTCAATAAAGACACCACACTTCAGTGCTTGACAAGGAGGTGTGGCATAAAATGAACTACTTTCAATATTATAAGTTGATTTTACTGCCATACTTCCCTGTTGAGTGCTGTAGTGCGGTCCTTCATGACTCCAATTTTTTTAAACTCTGGTTGTAAACACGATGACCCCGTCAATGGAAAAGGGTGATTAAAACTCCAGGCAATAGCCTTAAAACTCTATCAGTAATAAAGATTATTATGCTGCTAAGTCACCAATTCCACCAATCACAACCAAGGTTACTCTCAAGAAGCAATAATAAAGAAATAACAAAGCCAAAGCATTGTCTCACTAACAAGAGGAGCTGTTACATGACATTACCGGTATACCTAAGCTCAAAGACAATTATTTAATTTTCAACATAATCTACGACAGCTTTGGCAATAGAGTATATACATGCCATAATGATCATTAGACATTAATAGAAGAAGCAAAAAATACTCCTTACTGCAAATACCCCCAACATCAGATTCTGATAAAAATGGGTTAATTATGCTAACTTAAGGCAACTGAAAAGCATAAACTAAAGTGATCATTACACACAAGTGCCAGAAAATGATGTCGTGCATAGTGCAGATTTAAGTTATCCGGGATGTGGATCACCGAGACTTCAAGTTGTCCGAGTCCTGGATAATTGAGGTATTGGCGTACAGTATCCAAGTATGAATGTGATTTACTGGCTCTAGTCCAAAACATGATTGTGATTAAGGTACAATGGTCAGAAGCATTTAGTAACCCAAGTACTGTACCTGTGCAAACTTACAATTATGTGCATACTGTATAGCTTTATTTCATCTGTACCACAAAAAAGCAACAGTGAAATGTTAAGTGTCTTTTAAGATTTGTTATTACAATTACCAGTATATGATTTATATTATGCAAGAGGAACATACTGAGATACATCTATTGTAAATGTTAACAATGCATGACAGTAAGTGTGCCTTGAGAGATAATGGTATGTTAATAGTTCTTGTTTCTTTTTTTTAGTATGAACACCATGTAATAGGCAGGAGCCAGCCACATTTCATAAACATACATGTTTATAAAACTCCATAAAGATCTGATGAAAAGCAATTACAAACACAACCTCCTACTCTCCTAACACTATTCTGTCATTATCCTTATATATATTCAGTCATGGGAAAATAATCACAGGACAAGCAAACATACTGCCAATATACCAAAGCTTCCTCTGTGAGTACAGGTTAATTAATAGTACAATACAATAGTATAAGTCAAAAATGATTATTAGCGTACAAGTGACTGGTAACTGCTCAGTAAAACATGGAGAGATATTGGCTCACAGAGACAAAGAGGAATAAAGAATGTATACAATCATATGAATATCTAAACAAAATAATAAATTAAGTTGTGAGTATTATCATTTATAAATAGGCTTATAAGTGAGCATTATAATAACCCTACAGCCATAACTAATGCTACTAGTGCAACTGGAAGTACAGTTTGAAGAAAGTATACTACAAAATGGGCAGGAACAACATGATGGAACATCTACAGGATAACCCAATATCCTGCCTGTCATAATGGAACATCTACCTTCTCTCTATCCTGGTGGAACATCTCTAGAGTAACACAACCTTCTGCCTATCATAATGAAACATTTACAGGATAACTCACCAGGCTCCTTATCATGATGGAACATATTTACATTACTATACTGGATAACACATCATCCTGCACATCAAAAATTGTTCATAGTCAAACTGAACAACTTGTGTCCTATAAGCACCATCTGCTTAAGGAAAAGACCAGCTTGTTTAGACTGATTGATGTGTAATGCATTTACAGTAAATGTTACGTGCATTATATTCTCAATTACAGTATGTCTTATATCAAACTATATACAAATTATATAGTCTTCATAGAAAGCTTATCCAAACTACAAAAAGGTATTTATACTAAATATATTAGTATTTGGCACTTACTGTACATATGTATTATCAAATTAACAAATTATGAGATATAATATTAAATAATATACATAAACTGATCAAACAAAACAATATTACTCTTGACTTACAACTCTCAAAGTGATCTCATCCTGAGAGTAAAACTTTACACACACTAGGTATGATTTCTCAAACACTATGTAGCCAGACTGAATCAATGGCATCCTTTAATGATGAGCTCAAGTCAATTATACTACTGTATACTAATGTTGCATAATAACTACACTCGTTTTGGACACCCTGAAATACTTGCACACAATGCCAAGATATGTTTCTTCAACCAAATGTTCTCTAATTTTAAGTTTGATGTTATGCACTCTAGATAATGTATTTTTCTTATTGTTCATGAGGAAAAATAATACTGTACAGGCAGTCCTCATTGCACACACTGGAATATTGCTTTTTCTTTATGAATTTTAGCATTACCCACCACTTCTGCTAAATAGGTCCCTCTTGTATAGTGAGGACTGCCGGTATAGATCTGACACGATTGCAGCTACATGCACACTTCACAGTACAGTATGCCACAATTACTACTTTTTTCTTTAATTTTTATATTATGTATAGCTTTAGAAACAGCATGAAAAACATCCTAGCAAGTACAGTGCTAGAAAAAATTGTGACTAATAAATTATTATCTACATCCTATGGTGTACAGTACTGTACTCGCTTGTAGTAAAGTTAACCAAAATATGACTAAAGCTATGAAGAACTTCCATGACACAATTTTTGTCCAGCTAAACAGACTCTAAAAATGTTAGGGCAACATAAAACACTAAATCCTTCATGTATTAATTGAACTTTATCTTACTTAGACCCTTAACAGCAGACATAGAAACTACTTTTTCTTACTTATTTAATTCTGAACAAAAGGGGCAATGCCTGCTATGTCCAGATCATTTTATATGATTATATGACACAACTCAGTACTTCCCGAGAGTGGACCAATGAATTCAAATGTATGAGTATTTTAGAACTCTGTGATCATACATTTCAATCTTGATCTGTCTGATGCTTGTCCAGTGTAGAGGACTAGACAAGAAAACTCCCTATATAAAGACCTATATACAGTATATCAAGTTGTTTCTTACATCGTATACTGTTTACAGCTCTACTGTACAATATATGGATATAAAAGTAATCCCGTTGTCTCGAATAAAGAAAGTAAGAATTATTTGTCTGGTGTCTAGTTATCAATCATTGCATTTTGGTTAACAGATATTAGAATTAATCTCTAAACATACAGTGTATTTCCCCCTTTGGTAATAACTATCTTTCTCAAGGTGGAGGTGTTTCATGGTATGGCTGTTCTGTGTTAATTTGCTCTGATTGAAGAACTTATTAAAGACGAATATGACGAAACCTCCTTGAAATTGTTTGAGTTTGAAAATGGCTCTCACCTGTGGAGAGGATCAGGGGAAAGAGAAGCCTGAAGAAAGGGAGGAAATAAGAAGGGCAAATGTTTAAAAAATGGTGTAAAAAGTAATAGGAAGTGGCTGATGCAGTAAGCAAGAGCACTCCACATTCACCTATTCATATCCACAACTTATACAAACAGTACAAAGTGAAACCTTATTCTCAATACTGATTTTAATACTCCGATAAGAATTTGAACCTTGAGATGTATTACAAGTCCATAAAGTATCAAGAGTATAAGAACCATTGTTGTACTAATTGTGATATAGTATGACTGTTGTTGTTTTAAAATTTGCTTGGATTACCTCTGGGAGTTGTGACCTTGCGTTGCCAGCCGTTTCCACCCTGTGGGTTAGTGTTAGGACGGATATCCAGCCATGTCTAATGGCAACGGGGTCACCAGATAAGTGCCCATCCCCAGGTCTCTGCTGTATTTTCTGGGCTGGCACCTTGGGTTCGTGGTGATGAATGTGGGGGGGGGCACCATTCTGGTTTGACTCAAGCATGGGAAAAGCTGCAAAACAGTGATGACAATGAACAAATGGCATAAAAGACTTTTAGCATTAGTGAGTACAAATTTATATCACAGACTTTTGTTCCACTGTTTACATTATTACTTCATTAAAAAAAATGTTGATTAATGTATTTTATTATGTAGTGTATCTACCAATATTTCAGATTGATTGCTCAGTAAAACTTCAGTTATAAGATAAAAATTTACTTTTTCTTCATCTATCTTCAAGAGAGAAAGAGAAATCGATGCTCATCATAATACTGTACCCAAAACTTTATGAACCTGAATACACTATCTTAAAAGATTATTACTAATTTATAAACAGCTCAACACTGATAACAACACGACTACAGTACTGTACTCTACACTCTTGAAATAAATACATAATTATTTAGAAAATGGACTCACACTTCTGAACAATGTTAGAAAATAAAATTAAGTTATCAATATTACTTGTGATACAGCACTATTCATTACTTTTCAAAATGGTTACATAGCTAACCCTTATAGCACCAAAAAATATCTAGATTAATCAAACACAACAAAGAGCATTAGCTACGTAATTCAGTACATTTTGTATTACAACACACTGAACACATTATGTCGAGATGAACAGTTTCTCAGGAGATTGGTAAACGAAATCTGACGTTTAGATAAAAGGAATATGTTTCAAATACTATGCATATACAGTACTGATACTGTACTGTACAAAAGTACATTGCTTCAATGGACTAATTTCTGTACAGGTACTATATATTGCAATAGATCTGCAGCATTGAAAATTTGGGTAAAATAAATATTATGGCTCTCTCCCCCACTATAACATACAGTAAAACCTAGCATACTTAATCTATTTGGGGTAGAAACTTGTTCCACAATGTGTAATGTTTGCATTATTGCAAATTTAATATTTATTTATCTAAAGACACGCTTCAAGAGTATCAAGTGATAAAAAAAACATTTAATACTGAAATGTGGACTTTGCAGTAATTATTGTGCAGTGAAACCAGATAGATCAAGTATTATAATATACCAAAGCACATACAGTACTCTTCTTTGGGCAGTCACATGGTTGCCAAGCAAGACTGACCAGGTGATCACCAAAGATTTAAGTGTCCACCAGCAGTTACCTTGCATAGTGTTGAAAACAGCTAGCTAGTCAAAAATGTGCTTAGATTTTGAGACTGAGTGTACTCATTTATATCCCACCCAAGCTGTATTCTTAATATTATAAGCAATATAACATTTTAAAATGTTCAGTTAATCCCCATAAGTAATTTAGCTTATTCAGTGAAACTGTAATAATGAAATATTGTTGCCACAATGAGTGGGGAAGGTGTGTAAAGTAGAGAACAGTGATGTAATGGAGGGAGGGAGGCTGCCACCCCCTCAACACAGTTATTTAAAGTATATGTGGAGATTTACAGTATACAGTATAGTAAAGCCTTACTTTTCATAACATTAAAAATACTGTATAGTACATAATACAGTTGGGTAAACTGACTGCCTCCTATACAGCTGGTCAGATCCTAAATACAGTACTGTATGGCACAGTATAATGCCTATGTTCATATTTCCTTCAATACATCTGTGTTAAACAAAAATTAATTTAAACAACTGTTTTGTTTAATGCAAACTTATTAACAAATGTAACAATAAGTAATCAAATACTGTACTGTATACTAATACTGAACAAAAATGTTAATGAAATGTAAATCTCATTTTTCAGTTCAGTGCACACTAAACAGAAGAGATAGTATGATATTTAACTAAATATATACAGCAATAAGTAGTCTGACCATTTGCATTTGTTAAACATGTGTGTGTGTGTGTGTGTGTGTGTGTGTGTACAACCTCACCACTAAACTTAGGAAATGTTTACAAGATAATATCCCTTCCAGCATACACTATTTGTATTCAACTGAGGTGGCCATTGTTTTTGCTTAATACAAACACACTACTAAACATTATATGGTTTAAAGAATTTAGGTACAACTCTTTGCCTTATTTGGTATTCTAACCATTTTGTTCATCCTAGACATACGTGTGTCCAGTTGAACCAATGAGTTTATGTAAATTTGCTCTGTTCTTATTATGTATTATATTCCAGAAATACAATTTATCAGAATATAATTACTGGGGAATCTGCAGTCTTAGGATGTTCTGGACGTGCAGGTGTCTGGTAATTCAACGAACTATCTGTAATAGCTTGCCAAATTTATCATAGTATGGTAAATATATCACAGTTTACTGTTTGTTGTGCAGCACAATGAAAACATGATACTGTTAAGAAAATAACAAATGAAGTACAGTATGCTATAATGGTATCCTGAAGATATTACAGTGGCAGTTCCAACATAATGAATACAGGATACTTCAACTTCAGGAAGATGAGAATGCATTGAATTAAATACTTTAGAACATAGAGAAATACTGACATATGGCATACAATGGATAAGTTACAAATTTTTATCTTAATATACAATACACAGTACTAAACATATGGCATGAAAACCAAATGATGTTATACTGATGATGCAGCATGTTAAACACATTATAATTTATCCATAACAAGGTTTACTACACTGGAGTATGCTTAACATACTGCCATGAGCTGAACCTAAAAATTGGTTAATTATTTTAAATGTTCATGATTCTGTGTAGCTCATGATAACTGAGATTCACAACAGTACTGAGGGAACATTGTATTTATTATACCATGTTATTTATGTGACAAACTCATTTAATATTTGCATCTTTTTTAGTTTTGTAGGTGCTGTACAGTCACTGGTCTGATTCCTAAAATACCATGGCAATAATTTTATGTCCCAACACCTGCCTTTTTACAAGTCTTTATTGAACCATTTTCTGGGCTACTCTGACAACCATATCAGATGTAAACCATCAACAAGCAGTCCCTTCCTCCTCATCATCATTGGACGTATTTGGAGGAGTGCTTCTTGCTGCCGCTGAAGCTTGGTTGTGGGATAGAAAAGCCACATTTGCTGGTTTCAAAAGAGGGCCAGGATGAACCTGTGGCCCTCCACCTGCAGAGGGGCTTGCTAAGTAACTAGTGCTGGGCTGGTGTAAATGAGATATTGATCCATGATGGAGGTGGCTGGCATTTGGGAATGGGCGCTGATGAGGTGGTGGTACATTAGCAGGTGTGAGTGGGGAGGGGGAGAGACAGGGGGTCGTGCAGTATGAATTGCTAAGATCACACACGTCTAAGAGGCGTAGGAGCTCTGTTGGCTCTGGACCTCCATTAACAATTACTCCTGAAACAATAAAAACAATTATTGTGATATTTGTCCATATTTTATTGAAATTTGTACGTTAATAATATAATGATAACTAGAGCTAAATACTCAAGGCATTCTTTTAAGAATCCCCCTCCACAATATTTCCTAGATTCCACCATTTTGAAGGGACATCCAATGAGAACCCAGAGATTTAAGAAAATAATATACCGTATATATATATATATATATATATATATATATATATATATATATATATATATATATATATATATATATATATATATATATATATATATATATATATATATATATATATATATATATATAGTTAGTTTTGAGCTCAAGTTGCCCAGGAGAGGACACCATTAGTAAGTTTATGTTTTTTTAATTATTTTAATAGTTTTAAACACAAAAGTAATTGGTGGATGTTTATCCTGGTACAGCAATTAATTATTTTAGTGATGAAATAAGAGCAATGTAGAATAATGCAAAAAAAAAAAAAGAAGAAATGCCTTCTTACTTTAGTAGTTTCTTTTTAAAGCCTAATAAACATGCTTGAAGATATTTAGTTTTATAGTTACAGAATACAGTGCTGTATATTTATATTCAAAGAAATAATACTTCATTTACAAGTCTTGGAAGTCATTACCCTTTTCGTCACAACAAATGTACACCACTGATATTGAGGAAACAAAAGCAATTATGATGGAAGACGACCCAAATATGGAGAGAAGCGTGAGAGCTGGTCATGCACTAAAACCAAGAGAACTGAGCAAGAGAGAAGCTGTCCAAACTTCTCTTCACACCTTTAAATATCAAACTTCATCCACTTCCTCCCTGAAAACTATCAACAAGTAGACAAACTTCAGTCACCAACCAACCAACCTACTCCCACGTCCATAGACCTTGAAGCGCTCTCTCCACTCTTTTTGGTGAATATTAATTTACCTTTTCGTTAATTTAATGTATTTATGGTAAGTATTCATTTTATGATATTCTTTACCAAATTGTTGAGTTCTGTCACCTGGATATTCACTCCATGTTCACTCATCACCCACTTGTACTCTGTCTGTTACTTATAGCCTTATTTATATCTCAATATTTCTTTTTTTTATCACTCACCAACATCCTCACTCAACTTATATTCATTCATCATTATCATCAAACATAACCACATGGATATCTTCATCAGTCGTTTGTACTCACCTGAATCACCTTTGTTACTTAGCTCAAGGGCAGTAGTGAGATCCCACATTTGAATAGCCCCATTGGAATGACCCGTAAATATGTATCTTCTTGGTCTTGACCCCATGCGACTGCTTCCCTCACACTCGTGTACGCAGAAACCACTGATTGTAGTGGAATCCACGGATTTTATGACGCAAACTCTGAGAAAAACAATCAACTGTGAGCCTGGGAAGGAACATTCAAGCTTCTTTAGTGATGACAATTTTGAATAATATGAAAAACTTTTAAAAGTCTTTGTACCCTCTTGTTTTCAGTCTTCCCCTGTGATGGAGCAGGGTGGCCAGTCAATGGCATACAGACTCTCTCTCTTTAACAATTGGAATAGATGCTAATGAAAAAAAAAATGTTTGCTAAAAAGAAAAAAGGTTTAAAGCAAATGGCTTTAAACAATCTACACTGTATAACACTGGTAAAAAAAGTAACTCCCTCTCCCACAAGTATTTGGTCTACTTTCTGATGCAATTAACCTATAACACCTTAGTTTGACATCTTTGTAGTGTCACCCATGATCAGATCTGTCCCCAAAACTTTGTAAACCATATTTTGGGGGGCACATACCTCTTGCCATTGCTAGCCAGACGAACAAAAAGCTGGTCTGTTTCCGGAACGACTTTCTGGATAAACACTTGTTCATCGTCTTGCTCTCCATAGGGCCCTGAAATAATACAGCTGTGATTAGGTTCATACCAGTGACCATCGTGATAGTGTTGTGATTTGCTTGAGCTTCATTGAGTTTGCAAGTGAAATCTTCCCTTTTAAAATGTCAATTAGACTATGCTTGTAAGTTTTAATCCCCTTTATATACAGTACATTTTTTCACGAATATAGACTAATTTTCCATTTAATCATGTTGCCTTTTACTTTTCAAACTAAAGTTTTTCTTGCCCTAATGACTTGGTGACTTCATATAGAGACATAATATTTCAAAAGCATTAAACTTCACTCTCAAAAGCATTTTGAATAATTACTGTAGACCTTCAATTCATATGGTCACAAAAAACATAAATTTCCTCCGAGAAATATACACATATTACACTCAAACTATTCTATTTTTCTAAAAGATGCATATGTGAAACATTTTTCATGACAATGATGAAAAATAGAGATATAGTCTCTCCTCTACTTACGACAACCCGGACATACGACGGCCATGGTCGTATAAAATATTTTTCAAATTACATATTTTCAAGTCCCAACGTTAGAGATCGCACTGTGTACTGACAAAATTTTTGTTTGTAATTCCCTTTAAAATGGCTGGCAAGCGTAAAAGTGAGAGTTTTTGTGGTGCTGAGAAGAAAAAGAGACACCCATTTTAGAACTTCTATGTACTATTATTTTTGCCTTTTCAACTTACGACCAATTCGACTTACGAACTGGTCGTCGGGACGGAACCCTGTCGTAAGTCGAGGAGAGACAGTACTGACAAATAAGTTTTACCAAGGAAAAAAAAAACAGCAAGTCATTAAAAGTGTAAACCTGTACAGTAATTTTGTCTCATTTTCTACATAATTATGTTACTTTTCAGTATGGTATTTACCTTACATAAAAATTTTAGCATAATATACCCCAGGTACTACGCACACTTTACATACTACAATCTAACCTTAATTGGCAGGGCAAAGAAGCAGATATAAGGTAGCAACATGTTTTCCTGCTACCCCCTCCAACCACGCAAGCCTTCCACCCACACCACCACCGTGATGCTTTTGACCTTATGTTAACCAATAAAGGTGTCAAACAAATTTAGCAGTAAAGCAAATTATCACTAAACGAAGGATACCTGTACAGGGACCTGAAGGGGCCACTTGTGATGGCTTAACTCCAAACACTCGCAGAAGGAAGAAGAGCCATCATTTGAATAACACATACAGTATCTATTATCTGAGATACTGTACCTATTGAAACCTGAACAACAATTAAGGCTGATACTGTACTAGAGAATGATGCAAAACACAATGATCTCAAGGGGATATTAAAATGTACAGGACTAAGTTTTAAGTACAAAATATATTACAGTATACAAACCCATGCACAAAGGATTAGACAGACAGTTAAAAGTTATACAATATTTAGTAATGAAGAAAAGTTAATAGACATAAGCATAATGTTATACACATATAATGTAAGCTTACCACAGTCATTAGCAATTGCATAGTAAATGTTGGGATCAACCTCGTCAATAGTGAGAATTTTGTAGGAGGAGAGTGGTGTTGAACCAGGCTGGGTGGAGATCATTCCCCTGAAGCGTGTGACGGACCAGGTGCGTACGTGATTATATTCACTACACACACTGATTAATAATTTCTCCGAGAGGGTTACCTTAGGGTGAAAAAGAGAAAGAACATTAATACTAAAAGAAATTAATACTAAAGTAACATGTCCTACACAACTGTTCACATTTATACATACAAGCACTATTGTGAGAGAGGAAAGCAATTAACATTTGCACATACCCTGCCAAATGATACAGTACTTGAAATTACTGAAATGAACAATTATTTCTTGGGGAAGAGGGAATCTATTTTTCAGCTGTTTAGATTTCTTGAAATTCAAAAGAAATACATTATAAGCATACATGATAAAGAAAAGTACAATATCTTCCATGATGGGTCTAATGAATTTTGAAATGAACAACACGGCTCATGTTGTCACGGTAGGGTTGTTAAAATACTGTCTGTGGTGTCATATTGTCCAACACAAAAATGAGTAATACCCTTTTTTTACAGTGTATACTTCCAGAGGAGGTGCAGATAATTGGTGCAAAGATTCAAGACAATCCATTAAGATATCTCTTAGATAAACTTATTCATGGACTAATACAGGTATAGGGAGCTTTTGATTTATCACCTTTTAGGTGATAAACAAAATTTATTCCACTGATGTATCTATGAATAAGTTGTAACCTTATAAAAAGATAATGAGTACAGTATTTGGTTACAAATCTTGCAGCTAAGCTAACATGCAGTACTCTTTTATAAACATTGTAGGATTGTTAAAAGGTCTTTGTACGAGGTAAGAGGATGTTAAGTATATGAAATGTTTCAGGAAGATATTACTTGCAGTAACTTGCTCTGATAGTTAAAAAAGTGAAAGATTGGTCATGAAATCCCATCCCATGGCTAAGCCTGGAACTTGGTGGTTTGTGTAGTGCAACACTAAGCCATTGTTCTAGACACACAAGACCTGTCATCAGGACTAATCTTATGATCAGTGTCTTCTACTGCTGCAACAATCATACTTAGTGAGTGAACTACATAAGCCACCCACTGAAGGGTGATTGGTTATAAATGAAAAAAATTGACTGCGTTGGATTGACTCATTAAAATTAAGAGCTACATGAGGACAAGCAACATTAAAAAAATCATAAGAAAACAATACATATAAAATTTACAAGGTAATAAAATTAAATTTCAACTCTGGAATAACATCTCTTCAAGTTTTCTTCCTAGTAACTGAGTATTTATGGATTTCTCAAAAGATTCCATACATTAAATATCTAACCTTAGTCACAGGATATCTGTGGACTGTGAAAGTCTGGAAGAGCTGAGGTCCATGTCCCACTGTCTCAGGGTGTTGAACAATAACTCTTACTGTTCCAGAACTGGTGCCATATGCGATCTCAATCCAATTTCCACATACATCTATGATGAAAGTCTTAGTTAGATGGTTCTAAGCTATCGCATGCATAAAGTTGAGGAGCAAGTCAATAGAATGGCATAACAGACACAGTAAAAAGGATTTAGAGTGATGTTGCCAGGAATAGCAAATACAATAAATATTCAGAAAAGTTGAAAATACTTAATAAATCAAGAAGTAACATTAATTATAATACATAAAAATAAGACTGTTGCTAGGTATTGTATACTGAGATGCTTTACAGAAACTCTTAAAAATTTTACTGATATTTATACAAGGGAAACACAGCCAAGCTTCCACAGTCTGGGACTGACATAATAATACAATGTCTGGATACTACAGGACTTTAAATAAATATACAGCAGCATATAACCTCACTTGTTTTTGGTGTAAGGTAGACTGAGATAGCAGTGATGATATCATTTGATGGATCATGATACAGCTCTGTCACTAACAAGTCATTGTCCTTCATCCGCAGGGGGAACTTCTGCATGTCTGGAGGGAAAGGAATCTCTTATTACTGTCAGAGACAAATGTAAAGCCGACCTACTGCACATCAGTCATAGAGCCTTCATGCAGAGAACACAACTAAATAAACTGGATAAATAGGAAGTTTTTAAAATCATGAGGTGTACACACTGTACAGTACAGAACTCGAGTTATGAACGCCTGAAAGTACAGTACAGTATAGTATATGTATAAAACATAAATATAACATTTCATCTGTTGCACATTTCCAAAATGCAGGACCAGTAACTCTAAAACTGTGAGAGAGGGAGTACAGATACAGAAAAACAGAGCAAAGATCACTGACATGAGATATTCATACAAGAGAACAAACTCACCAATATAATAAATAGATCCATTGGTGCACCCTAGCAGGAGGAAAGAACCAGCTGTATCAAAGGATGCAATGGGTAGTACTTCCTGAATCTGCCAGTGTTGTGTCATGGCATGCCAGACTCCAATTTTCCCGACAGAAGAGAGTGCCACCAACTGTGATCCAATAAAGAAGAGGTACTCAACTGGCACCCCAAGATTAAAGGTTCCTGTATATGAAGAGTAAAATGGCAATCATTAGTACAATCAACTGCAACCCAATAAAGAGGAGGTATATCACTAACACCCAGGTACTGAAGGTCCTTGAGTAAAGAGGAAAATACTATTCATCAATGCTGTCGAATGTGAACCAATGATAAAGTGGTATTCCAAGGCTAAAGGTCTGCCCTCCAGTTAAGTATTAATACAGTATAGTACAGTATATCGTGTTAATTACTGATACAAGACAATTCACAGCATAATTGTAATCTTTATATATACTTTGTTATTAGAGTAGAGAAAACATGCAAGAACAGTGGAAAAAATAATCACACACACACAAATAAAATTATGTCAAATCAGGCAAAAACTTTTTAAATTCTTATGATGATACAAATGACGGAGAGAGAAATAAAGCTCGACTAACCAATATCATTTCTAGTGCCTTCCTCTGAGATACCCCATAGTCGAATATGAGATGCATAGGATATGGCAAGCATCTTCTGTCCAGCTTCTCCTCCCTGACTTGGTGGAGAGAGCTTAGCATTCAGGGCTGCCCGTTCGATGAGCTGGTCAATATAAGGTGAAGTGAAGGCCAGCTGCCAACCAGTGCTGTCTTTATTCCTGGAGATCAAGTCATAGTTGAGTGCTAATACAGTAGTTAGAGGTTTAGTATAGAATCTACATACTGTTTATATTGTTAAGTTACTGAGCGAATTAGATCACTGTATTATATCAAGGACAGTGAGAAAAAACCTAGTGATGATAATGTGTAATTCAAAAGTTTGATTGATAATGTTTTGTATAACACTGCACAGTACATAAAATGAACATGAAATACAGTACAGTACAGTATAGAGAAAAACTCGAGCAGAGATGTATAACTTTTCTCTACCTGGCCACACACTGTGAAGTGAGTGTTGCTTTATGTGGCATTTGAAAAGAAAATTATTCCTTTTACCTGGTATTCTATGTTTGCTTTATTAACAGTGGAAAATGGCATAATAAATTTGAATAATGAAAGTACAAGTTATTTAAATTCATAATCAATGATAATATAACACTGTACCTTCACAATAAGTATTGACTTATTTAAAGATCTCTGCAGTGCCTGTCACTCTGCCCAGTACAGTATGTACTGCAGGTATAGACAGTAACAGTTAAAATAAAAAGTGTATGTAAAGTAGTTTGATATACTGTACACCCTGTACTGTACACTATGTATCCACAAACATAGGGCACATAATCATGTTTGCTATGTTATATAAATACATGTTATTATATTTTCAATGACTAATATACATCAAGAGAGATAAGAAAGAATGAAAATGTGTGAAGATAGATACTCTTCAATATACAGTACTGCACAGTAACCACTCGATAACACTGTGCACACTTTACTAATCCAGGAATATGGATGACCTCTCAGAGTCAGAACTCTTTTGAGAATGTAGTAAACAATAATTTTTCTTAAAATTCACATTCCATTTTCTTGCCAAATTAGTCAGGTTACTTAGTGAAAGTTCATATGGACCCCATCTACGAAAATCATAAAAAGGCTAAATCAACCTAAAGAAAAACACATGCAGTATGGTAAGACATCCAACCATTCTGACTATACTACTCACTGCTTCACTCACTACTCTTTCAGAAGATGTAAATAGGCTGGCTCTTAATATCTTCAGGTTTCTTTATGTTAATGTTTAGTCAACTTTATTTTCAAGTTTAAAGCAATATGGATGCAAGAAAGCATAAAAAAATTATCAATAAAAATGTTTGTAAGCACAAACTAAAAGAGGGTGCAAATGGTTTTATTTTGACTTCTGGGAGAGGCTTCCTGAATACTACCACAATACAGACATCCAAAAATTAGAACTTCCACAAAAAAAACCTTCTCCTTAATCAGTCCTGAGTATCGAAACAATATTATGTACAGTACAGTATAAATAAAAATAAAAATATGATTCTTGTCCATTGAACAATACACTGATAAAGGTATTAGTTCCATCTACTCACCACCGGTTGACAGCACTTTACAGATAGCATGTAATAAAAATGTTTGTGATATAAATCTGGTCATAGAAACAATTAAACAAAACAATACAAAATAAATTATCTAGCACTGCCTTTTCTTAAACATTTCATTATTTTCTTAATCCACACTCACACAGCAACACCACCATACACTCACTCACACAGCAACACCACCACACACTCACACAGCAACACCACCACACACTCACACAGCAACACCACCACACACTCACTCACACAGCAACACCACCACACACTCACTCACACAGCAACACCACCACACACTCACACAGCATCACCACCACAAACTCATAGAGAAACACCACTACACACTCACACAGCAACACCACCACAAACTCACACAGCAACACCTCCACACACTCACACAGCAACACCACCACACACTCACACAGCAACACCACCACACACTCACACAGCAACACCACCACACACTCACACAGCAACACCACTTTACAACAGAAATAGATCATTGTTAGGTAGGTGTCCTTGCAAATGAACTTCGCAATTTGTTATTTCTAGATGACAATATACAATCTTAAGGGATGGTATCATTTTTTTTTAACATAAGTTGATGATAACCATAAACAAATTTAGAAGCTATCATAAGTCTTGGTATCCAGAGAAGCTGGCAGTGCTACTCCAAATAATGCTTCAATGTCAATTCACTTTGTTTAGAACTGTTTTTACTGATTTAGTATAAAGGCAGATGGTTGTAATAATATTTTTCACATGTTATAAAAATGTGGTAATTATGCTATCACGGCTAATACTGTAAAAAACAACATGACAATGTGAATGGTATTACACAAAAAAACATTGATTATCACCAATAGAGAGAGCTCTTACCTGTAACAGGTTACAAAGTGAGCATATGCAACTAAAATCCAATTGTGATGAGCTTTAACCATCCGAACCCGTAGTGGATCCACCCAGCTTGACCCTAAAATAGAAAGATCATACATGGTTGTATACGTATGTCAGAGAATATAGTTAATTTTATAAGAGTGAGTCTGTCTGTCTCTCTGTCTGTCTATTTAACCTTTTGGCAGTGTGTTTGGGGCCCATATCTTTTACAATTCACCAGGACAGGTAATTGAGAGTATATAAGCTGCTAATATTCCAGCATACAGTGTGATCTAGTTATGAACAATAGCTACCCATTACATTATGATGAACACTTGACAACAAAATGGAAGTACAGTACATAAGTTATTTAGGACATGTGAAGTGATTACATTGTCTGCTAAAGGTTTTTACTAAACTATCATATACTGTATACCCCAGCATCAGTTATAGCTTTACAAAAAATTGTGATAACATACCAGGGGGTCCAGCGTTGTTCAGAACGTTTATCTCATTTTTGAAGAATTTATTAAGGTCGGCAGAGGAATTACGTGAGTGTCTGAGGTCCATGGAGGGAGTTCTGGAGTGTGATCTTGCTGCATGGCTACGGAGATCACTTGAGCTTCGTGACATGTGGCCGGGATATACAGCATTGTGTAGACCTGGAGGAAGGTACAGTACAATGTATTAATAATGTTAAACAATGAGAAGCTAATTGACTACTGTACTACCATAGCTGTGCAGACCAGTTGAATTTTGTAATATTTCTCACATTATATACAGATTATGTAATAAAGAAAAAATCTAGTGCCTATCTGTAAAATGTATTAAAAAGAAACAAGTAAATTTCATTGTGTGTTTGTATGTACATATGAGCATATCAAAGACCGATGAAAACTGATCTATAACCTACTAACCCTACACATGGTACAGTACTAACATTAATAATTCATCAGGTATGCAGTACAGTGTATATACCATATACAGCATAGCCATCACTGACTAGCATGTCACTCTTTTTTTTCTTAACCCAATATTTTCCATCACTCAGCTTTATAGTTCCATGAAACACCTAATTTAATAAAAAAAAAATTTTTTGGCTCAGTTTTAAATACAGTATAAAGACTTCGCTTTCCCATTTCCAGACATCATATACAGTACTATTTTCATTTCTTAAAACAACAAAGGTAAATACAGATTGAGATCATACCCTGTCCAACTAGCTGAGATGGGTTGTGACGCATATCAAGTGAAGAATTACGCGAGTGGCCTGGCCTAGGGACTGCTACAGACCCCCCTCCACCAGGTCCTGGGACGCCTGCACTTGCTCCTGCTGCCTCAGGCAATCGTAGGACTCCCCCAGACACACCGCTGTTGCTGTTATTGTTACTGGCATTGTTGGGTAGTCTGTTCTGTCCCTCACGAGACTCTGAAGCCGTGGACGTTGGTGGATCTTGAACTGGAATGCCTATAACAAAACACATCACAAGTTGAGCAGACAATAAATTTCAAGTTATCACAATAAAATTGGCAGGAATCAACAAAGATGGTCAGTGAAATGCAGAAAATGTCAAATAAATTGTCATCAACTTTGATCATCTTTTATCCTGAATTAAAAAAAATAGGGAAAGAACTTACTAGGTGGTGAGAGGTATCCACAGAAGAGGACATCACCACATGATGAATGGTGTAAGTCCTGGCACAACATTAACCTCTTCACCAAGGGGGCTATGCCATAGAACTCAGCTTCATGTCTATATGTTAAAGAAAATACTCATGTGATAACATATAAAAATAATATTAAAGAAATATCATTAACCACAAGCCTGTGTTTCTCCAGGATTAATCTTGTAGTGTGATCCCAACTATGCAAGAGAATACAGTACAGTAATTGAAAATTGGGCAGCATGGACGCTTTCCCATTCTTCTGCACCCTTTAAAATACTGTAATATAAAAAACAGTGGTAGCTAGACAGATACACCTCATTATGGTTCATTAACAAGGAAAAAGACAATATTATTAATAAAAGAAGACAATAGTAAACCATTTAAATATGTATAATCTGATTCACAAAAGTTTTAATTCAGTCATTACTATATATACAATTAGAGTATATCAAGCATTTCATACTGTATAACTGTACCTTAGAGCACTGATGTCAACAATTGACATGTTAAGGTCCCGTGTGCGGAGATAATTGAGGATGGTGCTGAAGAGGGAAGGGTCGCGATCAATGAATATGGCTCCTGATTCATCTCTAAGAGTTGAGATTCTCCCGGATAATAAAGATGTGAAGAAGGTGTCAGGAACCCATGTGAGAGTGTGTCGTGATGTGCTGAATCTGGAAGAAAATAAAAATTCCTAACTGTAAAACATGTATAGATTCTCCTTATATTAATAAGAATTTTTCTGGATAAACAAATAATAAAAATTATAAATAATGTCAAGCAACTATTGGATTATTATGTCTCACGTCAGTTATCCTTAGTTCTCAGTGCTATGGGAGGCTGGAGAGTTTAGGCAAGATTAGGTTTTATTGAAATCCACAATTTCACTGTTTTTGAAAGTCCTCCCCACTAATACCTATTTCATAAACTCGAGAGGTAAATATAATATGTTCACCATTTAAGTTACCAAGAAACAAGCCTTAAAAGTATAACCCTACATAGTTTCATTATGAAATTGCAGTTGTAACAATTTATCCAGGTGAGGATGAACTGCACAATGTTTAGATTCAAAACCAAACATTGTGATTGACCAGTGTCAAAATCTTAAAAAAAATGACTACAGAGGACTTTACAATCGTTACTACAGTGTATTTTATCATGATATAAGTAAGTGCCCCTTTGTTTTAAATGTCTCACATATGCCCAAAATTCCGTTTAACATTAAATTTCTTAAAAATATACTCATAAGTTTTTATAATGTTCAATCAAAATGTTACAATGTGCATAAATGGGAGAAAAAACGATTTCTTGGTCATTGTCTGGACTCGCATATGAACAGACTGTACAAAGGCTCTTTATGATCACCAAACGCAGTCTACAATTTTTGGCGACACATTACCAATTTCTTTCTATATTATATCTTTTACAAACCTCTGCCCTCCAACGTTGAGATGAATTATGTCCCCAGACCCAGGGAAACACGTGGACGCCATTTGTGAACCTCCTTTCTCTACTTGAAATTTATTCCAGAACGTCAGACTGACTCTCCGCCATGTTGTTTATGTCCATCAGCTGGTAACTTGTCCGTTTCTCTTTACTGATGACAAACAAACTCTTGTAATTCTGAGCCTCTTTTATAATCACATAATTAGTCCAGTAACAACAATAATATTATTTATGCGCCATATTATATACATACATCACTAAACCTCTTAAGTATACCTGTATATCTCATCGTAATACCTGGTACATTACTCTGGGACACTGGCTCTAATGGATCAACATGAGGAGGTGTTTGTGTTGTTTCTTTCTCTTTATCCCTTTCCTTTTGTCTCTATGCTTAGAGATTTTCACGAAGAGTCAATATACTACATTTTATTGAGCTTTTATCACACGTTAGAAAATTAAACGAAGGAAACCGCAATCACAATATATATATATATATATATATATATATATATATATATATATATATATATATATATATATATATATATATATATATATATATATATATATATATATATATATATATATATATATATATATATATATATATATATATATATGTGTGTGTGTGTGTGTGTGTGTGTGTGTGTATGCCTATATAATTCATAATTCAATCACATTATAACCAGTTCTTGACAGGTATATCACTCCACTTGATTACTTATCAGCGTTATCACTTCAAACCGCGGTATTACAATTTATGCTTATTGCACTATAACAGTTACACCATAATAATCACCCGTGACGAGAGTGTGCAGAGTCCAAGCTCAATCATTTTATTTAAGTCAACATTTTATATTTATTTCAATTAATAGCGTTCATTTTTATTGGTTTTATTTTCATTTGCCAAGGCTTTCGACAGTGTACCCCACGAAAGGCTGAAAATCAAACTGGAAGGGTACGGAATTCGGGGAAATGTCCTAGCGTGGATAGAAGACTTTCTACATGACCGCAAGCAATGTGTGGTGATTAATGGCACGAAATCGTCATCTGTACCTGTAACAAGTGGGGTACCGCAGGGTAGTGTATTGGGCCCGCTGTTGTTTGTTTGTTTCATAAATGATATGCCTGACGTTGTACACTCCTCCATACAAATGTTTGCCGATGATGGCAAGTTATTTCGGGAAATTAAGAACCAAGCGGACTGTGAAGAGCTGCAGAAGGACCTCTGTGGGCTCCAGGAATGGTCGAAGGAATGGCTGCTGAGATTCAATGTCACGAAGTGTAAGAGGATGCACCTGGGGCGTACCAACGGTAAGGAGGCGTACCATATGTCCCAACGGGATGAAGAAAATGTACTAGTTGAGACTGTGTGTGAGAAGGACCTAGGTGTGTATGTTGACAATGAGCTGAAGTTCTCGGGCCATTGTGAGAAGAAGGTAAATCAGGCAAATAAATTATTGGGTCTTATAAGAAGGTCGTTCAGATATCTAGACGGTCCGTCCCTCGTGACGATCTTCAGGAGTGAAGTGCTTCCCCATCTGGAGTACTGTCACCCCATCTGGTCCCCGAGATATGCTAGGGACTGTCAGTTGGTTGAAAATGTTCAAAGGAGGGCCACCAGACTGGTGCCTGCACTTCGGCACCTCAGCTACCCTGAGAGATTGGAGCGCCTGAACTTGCCTAGCTTATACTACAGACGGGCAAGGGGGGACCAAGTTGAGGTGTATAAGCATCTCAGGGGGCACTACTCAGTTGAGTGTCCTTACTTGGAGCTGGCGGACGCTCGCCCCACAAGGGGTCACAGCTCAAGATTGAAGAAGCCGCAAGTCCAGAAAACCGTGAGGGCAAACTTTTTCGGAGTGAGGGTTGTAAACTCTTGGAACAATCTACCAGAGAGTGTTGTGACGGCACTGAGTGTGAGCTGTTTCAAGAGAAGACTTGACCAACACTGGAGCGGGTTCAGGTACATTCAGGAGCCGGTGCATTTTGCCAACAGTGCGTGACAGAGACGTGACCGATCGCCCAAGCGGCTAACAAGCCGATCAGTGGCGAAGAGGATAAAAGTAAAAAAAAAGTAAAAAAGTAGATACTGTATAGCTTTATCTGTTGAGGAGTCGGGCTGTGGGTTCATCCACATGCTCGGGTTCATAATAACAACTTAGTCAAGAACACAACAGTGAATGGGAGATGGCTGTGGGTTTTCCCATTGCTAAATTGGGTGCTTTGGTCATTAAGCAAGTGGCTAAACCGCTTGCAAACTTTGCTAAAAGCCGAGCTAAGAATAACCATTTCTTCAGGACATATGTGTTGATGCCTCCTGCTCAGTGTAAGTGAAAGAACAGAGAAACTAGAGTGTGAATCTTGGCCGGCTGATGCTACACTATTTATCAACAATGTTATGGGTTAATGTACCTTATTAGTTGTCTTACATTTATATAAGTGATGAAAGTTAAAGAAAATGACACCATTTTAATGTCTGGGAAAGATTCAATTTAACTTAGTGGTCCTATTAATTTTGTTACATTTTAACGAGTTTTTGACATTAAGTTCAATGAATAAAATATGATTACTATGTATGAATAAAGAAGTCCTGACTACTGAGAATTTTTTTTAATATACAGTAGTATCTAAGCACGGAACTCTATTTTGGTCTTATATAAGGAGATAGAGCAAAGAAGTAAATATACGTTATAACATTCTTGTCGGAATTTATAATTGATTTTTTATTTTTCCGAATTCGATTCCATTTTTTTTTTCAGGTTCCTTATGTATTTTCTTTTCTCTTGTTAGGTTAGGTCAGGCTCTTCTGGTTTCTCCGTTTGGTTAGGTTAGACATGTATACTGATATTTGAGTTGTTAGGTTCTTGATCTTTTTGTTTAGCAAAATATTTATATCCTCCAACAATTTGGGGATGCTCTTGGTAAACTGCAGAACCTTTCTTGTATTTAAGTTTCGTACTGCAGCTCCTTAACCTGGGCACATGTTCTTGAATATAATAATGGACTTTTTAAAGTTTTTGTAACAGGTTCGGTTAAGTTTTATTAGGTTTAGTTTCGCCAGTTTCCTGCATGTGTTTACCATATAATTTCCCTCTACTTCAAATTCATGCCCAGTTTGTGTGATCAAAATTGCATTTTTTAAGTGAAATAGAAAAGTAAAATAGAAAATTAAAATTTGATGAAAATGCTATACGTACAGCAGATTTTTTCTCTATTTACCTATATGCAAATCAGTATAAAGTTACATGCTTGGTCACTACTGAATTGTTACAGAGAAACCATCACTGAAATACAGTATACCCTGTACAGAATATAATTTACCAAGATTAAACCACCAAGAACTGCTTCACTTGAGTACTGTATTGTACCTATTACTCAGTGGTTCATTCCTACTAATATCAGCTGTGACTGAATAATATTTGCTTACGTGCCGTGTCGGGGGTAAAGGTAAATTAAATAAATGTATTGGTCTTCATACATACCTGTACTGCATTTATCTTTTAATTTTCTTAAACCCTCACATTTTTTGTAATACTGGAAGATTGTGTTGCACCTGAATGACTAATTTGACATAAAATGAACCAATCTATCCTACTTAACCTAACCAAGGATAGGTTGCTTCATTTTGTCACCAACAAATTACAGAAAATACTGTAGCAGTATCTGGTAATTTGTTAAAAGTTTTCTTGTAGATTAACCAAAAAGCTTCTGTTGCAATACTGTACTGTAGAGCATAGGAACAGTAGTATCATACTTTAAGTACAGATTAGTGTTCAGGACAGAAAAACTCATAAAAATATTTAAAAAAATGTTAATCTGTAACGTTTTGGCTTTCTCGTGGGAAAGAAAGCATTTATTATCTGGAGACAAATACTGTACCTGGTATCCTCAAGTTGGTGACCTAGGTGTGATACTGCCTCCTAGTATTACCTCAATTTTATGCCAATGTTTTAGTAAGTTTTCAATTGGGTTGGAATAAATTTAAGAGAAATTTTGAATTGGAGGACAGCCTTGTTTAAACACTAATAATGAAGATAGTCATAAAACAGCACAAACTGTTTTCTTAGGATATTTTCCTATGATTTGTTTTGAGTTTGTATGGTACAGGTACAGTATACATGTGCTGCATATACTGTACAGTGCTGTACTATATATGCATTGTTTACTGAACAATATAATAGACCTATTTTCTAAAGTTATGTACAGTATAGTACAGTATACCTTAACAAAAAGGCTTTTCATAATACCATAATGGGGTTGTATGATAACATACTGTACAGTACAGGGTCATAGGGAAATAGGAGCTGTGAACATAATGCTCATGCTGAGTAATTGAAATTTGCTTTGCTTCTACTTATTCAAAGTGGCAATTGAATACCATTCCACATTTAATTATTGATTATTTTTCCTCTCTTTTTTTAATTTATGCACTGTACCGAGAGAAGCTTTGCACACACATAATTGGCCTTTACTCAAGGGTTGTTTTCCCTTTTCAGGTGGAAAGTAATTAGTTGAACTCACAGACATTGTCCATGGCTCCTGTTTTCCCACTTGCCAAACTTGCTTTTCTGTTTGTGAAACAAGTTGCTCGGCCCCTGTCCAGCTCAATAAAACGCAAGGCTGGTAGAAGTCACTTCTTTAAAGAAAATTTCTGTCTTCCTCCTGCACGACGTATGTAACATTTTGTCTGTAGGCCTGAGAGTGGTAGGGAACTATAATAATAATAAGGAAAGTATGGAGGAAAATTATTTTGTAGAAGATTAAAGTTATACTGTACCAGTGTCTGTACTGTACCATATACAGGTACCTGTACTGTAATGAGGTAGAAAGTTAATGTAGGTGTGCTGTAGTGTGTACAGTACTATAATATTATTAGTAAACATATTAATTATTTTTTGATCAGTAAATCAGTATTTAATTGAACTTGTGTTACTGGCAAAATATTAACCAGAATATTGTACATTATTTTCCAAATTTGTTAATAATGATGTAAGTCCCACAGTAGTAATATTACTGTTTCATGCTGGGGAGTATTTTTTCTAATCCTTTTAAGTACTGTACTGTATATTCCCCTGCTCCTTTATTGTTAACTTTATAACTGTACCTGTATAGACTGTATACAGTATAGGGCAATTTAAACTAGGCAATGCTGCTCATGCACACTATACATTTTCTAACTAGTATTCCTAGATAAAAAATCCCCATTTAGTGTTTTGTTGGTGTGTAAAGGTGTAGAGTGTGTCAGTAAGAACCCCACAAGTCTATACAATATACAAAATCTTACTAACTACTACACACACTTATTTCAACTCTTCCCATTATACTTACTGTCCAACATATTCCTTACTCTTTGTATAGAATCTGAAATAGGTGAAGGAAATTACCGATTGCTTGCAGCATAATAAAACCAGGTTGGGTTGCTGTTTAAAAGCATCTTCTATGTTAGTGTTTGAAGAAGCATATAAGACCACAGGCATCCACTATTAACCTCCACCTACCTTGTCCCTAGCCAATCATTATCACAGTATGTTAGCTATTTACCCTTTGTTAAAAACGTCATGCATTTTGCTATTTATGTTCCACCCACCGTGTTACTAGCCCAGGATTTTTACTGCCAGTATATTTTGATAGAAAGGGCAGAATGGATATGAAGAAACATACCTAATTAATAAAGAATAAAGAATGACTTAATTTGCAGTTGAAAAGCAAAGATATTACAATTTCTTTAACTTTTTTATACTTTTTAATTATATTTAGTAAAGTACAAGTTATGAATTTTAATAGAGCAAAGGAAATAGTATTAGTATTTTCATGTTTATGAGTTGAGTACAGGATATTAAAAATGGACTTCACCCTTCAGTTTACCACTGGTGTGAAGTACGTATGAAAATGTACGTGATGAACATAGGTCGGTCAGGACAAAGCAGCACCATACCTAAGCTGAATGAAGATGCTGCCATAGAACTAGGAGCAAATTTATTAGGTAAGTGTTGATGTTAATGGAGTGGAAGAAAGCACAATGTATTCCCTACACCTTTATTGAACTGAATTGATAATATGGTTATTTGGCATGTAGTACAGTACAGTAGTTACATTTATTGAGGTATTTTTATTACTTTGTTTTAAAAGGGTGTTTTATATATTACTTTAAATAGCTAAATTATTCATAGTGATTGACTTATATTATAAAAAAATTGTTCTTGTCCACCATCACAGGAGAAGGAGTTATTTTTGGAATTGCTGTTGGAATTTTGGCTTTTGAAGTAATACGACAGAAGGAGAAGGAGAAGAAGAAAGATGAGGATGAGCAAGCATTTATCAACAGTCTTGAGAATCGAATAAACGAACTAACTTTTGCTTCTGAAGAACTTGACACCAAACTCCGTGAACTCACAAGAAATATTTATGCTGTGCAGCATCAAATCAAGATGAAAGAGGTATGTAATGCTGACTGAACAGCTTCTTCATTAAATGTCACGGGTATCACAGAGCCTCTAGCGAATGGCAGATTTTCAGTTACTAGCAAATTACGGTATTGTAGTGGTAAAAAATTTAATAATGTATAATCTATTAAGTTAAAAAAGTAGGCTATTAACAATGCAGTCTAAATAAGGAAGAGTAGTAAAAATAATGCTGTTTTCCAGAGGTTCTAATTATTTGCCCAGTTATACAGTGGACTATGCCTGGCACACAAGTTTTTACATCACAAACAACTGCAACATTACCATTTCATAAATGTAATTTTTTTTTTCGTTTGCAACATACACAAAGTATATCATGAGCAACAGCAGAGTTCTCCAAGGAGTGAGGATAGTCACTTTATTAACCAAAAAAGAAGTATCAGTTTTACTTATTTACTAAAATCCTTTTCATCGAATTGAATAACAAGGGAAGGGATGGTGCTGTACTGGACCTTCCGGCTATCAAAATAAAACAAAATTTGGGAATACAAAAGGACATTAAAACAGCTGTTATATGTCAAAATAACCAGAAAGCTCCATGTGAGTCACCTGATCTAGACTTAGTCATAAAAGGGGATTTGACGATCAATCCTTAATTTTTAGTCGGATTTTCTTTTCAAATATGTAACACATATATCAATTCCGTAACCATGGGACACTACTGTGGTAGGATTTAAAGTGTTAGAAATCAATTATTGTGTTCCTATTTTTACTGCTTCCTATATTATATTGTATGTGTTCAGTACTAACATTAGATACTCTATTGTGTTAAAACTGTATTTACTAATACAGTATTCTGTGTACTGTATGTACGTATATTATTTGTCATGTTCCAACTTAGCTACATACAATTCGACTTTAGAAAAATACACACGTAATACAGTAACCATAGACATTAAATAAATTGATACGATTACTGTTCCTAATAGAAAACTGAAAATATTCTTAATTAGAAATTATAATACAGGAATTTTATTAATCTTTTGCTGGTTTCAAATAAAATCCATTTCCTTAAGTCAATGTGCCCCCAAATTTTGAGAACACTTCACCTAGACTTGCAAAAAATTTAATTCAACAATTGCGGAGAACAAAGGTAATGGAATTCAAATGAATACATTCGTACCTGATGATGCTCGGCTCAGAATCCTGATATATCAGAAGGAAACGTTCCTTTCTCTTACACATTTGCAGGCAGTTGGCCACATTGCAGGTGACCAGTGGCACAAAATGTTTTATTATTTCCAAGATGATATCTCTTTATTTCTTACATACAATATTTTCTTTTCTGTGTACAGTATTCAGAGTTTTATTTTATTTATTTCTCTTACAGGTACAACCAAAGTGACCACATCACTGATTAGTTAGGTTACCCCCAAAAGATCTTCTTACTGTAGATTTAGAGCAGATTGCCTGTGTACAGTCAGTAGGTCTTATGTTCTCAGTTTAAAGTTACTAAAGTGGATGAGGCAATGATTTATCTTTCAGACAAAAGCTGCTGTGACCTCAAAGACAACGGATGTTGTTTTACACAGCAGCTCTCATAGTGGTACATCATCAGGGGTCATCGTCACAGCTTTAATGTATGCAAAGTCAAGGATTTTTGAAAACACTCCAGAAAAGAGTTTTACCTCTGTATCTCTTATCACAACAGCTTTATTGGATGCAAAGTCAAAAATTTGTGGGTGAAAAGACATAATAACTTTGGTCATAATATCTTATGGAGAAAATATATAGGTTACTTGCTAGATAACTTTAAAAGATATAAGAATGAATTTAACCTTTTCCTTCTGATGCAGCATAAGTACATTATATTATTTAATACTGTACAGGTACTGTACTGTCATTCTCTAAGATTATGGATAAAATTTTCTTATTAATGTGTCCAAAGTCATTGATAAAGAATAAATTACTTTTATCATACTGTAATTCCATAAATAAAGATGGGAAAGTAAAGTCATTCCTGTTGATTAAACAATTTAAAATAATTAATTAACCCCCTCACCTCATATTGGCCTAAAAGAAGTTTTAATTTTTATATACTGTACTGTACTGTACAAGAGTCTCCTATAAAGATAATAATTTAATCAAATGATAAAGATTTATACAATTGACATGATTGTGAGTGGCATGTGAGAGATCCTGAACATTCAATTCCCTCTATGCCCTGATCAGAAAGGACAAAGTTACTAAGTAGCTAAAAAATATTTATTATAATTAACTTCACTCAGTTCATTCGGAATTTGTTATTGCTTGTAGATAAGTATAAATTAGTGATTCTTTTGAAATTTAGTTTTTGCCCAAGAGAACATACCCGGTACCTATAACCACTTGGGTCTCTCTATGCTGAATATAAAGATCTGACATTAGCCAAATAAAATGCTAAAAGTAGCATTCCATAGTGTAGGAGTTAAGAGGTATCTGAAGCCCGACATATAATCCCCATTTCCCACTCTGTAAAAGTGGGTGGATGATAGGAAAGGCATCTAGCAGTAAAACTTGATCAATAACTTGCCTGGTGGCAACTGGGACACCAAGTCATCGGGTAATCCCAGCTAACCCACACAAGTGTGGAAAATGGCTGTAAAACAATGATATGTGAGTAGCTTAAGATAATTTCTCCCTATGTAATTATTAAGTAAATAAACCTTTGATGAAAATATGAAGATCAAGTGAGCCTTTACACATGAAGATTAGAAGAAAAAAATTTAACCTTCAGGGTTAGATGTTAAATCCATTGTTCTATGTTCTTTAGAATGTGTTAATTAAACAATTTGTGGAATTTCTTGAGATATAGATTGAGGAGAGAATCCTTGTCCTCTGAAACAGGGCACCATGAGGGTATTTAGGAGATGGGAGCTCCTACATGCCACTTACGACTCACTAAAAGTGTTTTTATACTTCAATCCTCCATGTATGATGAACTTGCAAAGATCTCTTCAGTGATTTGACTCTTACCTAAAAGATATGATATGTGTGTTTGGCTGTCATTATTATTTTGGTAAATTTAATAAGCACTCACTTATGTACTCCCCATCTAAGACTTGAATAGAGTATGAACAGTGGTAAATGCTTTCTATGACAGCTTGGCATGACCCCCATTGATGAATGTAGAAACCCCAAGGCATAAGCTGGGGAGGGGGCATTCCATTAAAATACAGCATTAAGGCATACACTGTATTGTTTAAATTCTTTTATACAGTACCAGGTATTTGAGATGTAGTTTATCCCATAGGATAAACTGGAACTAGTGTACTACCATATTATTTTAAAACTTTTAATCAGCATTAACTATAATTAGTTAAATTTCCACTATGGAACATTTGGGAATGCATCAAAGATAGTATTTAGTGGTCAAAAGTTTTACATTTCTCCAGTGGTCTATGGTGTTTGTAATAAAGCATGTTCTTTCTCATATTTAAAATAATACTCAAGGCCAGTAATTTTTATTTGAACTGGAGTATCTTTATTGTTTCAGCTTATGTGTGCCACGTACTGTAGTTCTAGTCACATTCAACCTGTATGTAGTCTTGGACAAAGAGAAATATAGAGTGGACACTTAACTTTCAGAATTTTTTATACAGATATACCTTGCTATACAGGTGGGTTAAGTTCCTCGAAAAATGTTTGGATAGTGAACAGCAATAGAAAAAATAGGGTGCAGTTCTCTAACGACAAGAAAATCCCAATATTTTACCTAAAAATAATGAAATTGTTTGATAAACCTCAGTACAGTATTATACTGTACTCCCAAAAAATAAATAATAATTTGCATCACCAAAAAAAATCTAAATATTGTAAAATACTTACAGTATACTGTATAGTATACAATTGATACATTACCTTATGTGAGGTAAGTCTCTCCTGATCTTGCTAGGGCCTTCCTGCAGTCATGGCATCTTCATTTCAAGCTTGATTTCAATGATCACAGAGTTTCAAGATCTTTTGGTGATGGTAGCCAAGGAATCAACACAATGCATACTTACAGTGGGGTATGCTATAACGAATCTAATTGGTTCTAGAACCTTGTTCGTTATAGGATTAATCCGTTCCAGGCCCCCAAATACAACCACTTAACACTGAAAAATATAATATAAAATTGTAAAAAAGTGCATACATATGCATCTAAACCCCTGAAATAAAGAATATCATTAATACTTGTAATAAAAAAACAAATTTGTAAAAAAAAAAAAAAAAAAAAAAATTAAATACCTGTAATGTTCGTTGTAAGAGTTTCGTTCGTTATAGCATTCTCAATTTTATAGGTAAAACCGTTCGTTATAGGAATATTCGTAGTAGGATCCGTTCATTATAGCATACCCCACTGTATAAACACATAGCAAGCGCACTGCACTGAAACCAAACACTACGCGAATGGCAAGCCATACATACTATCTCCTGGGTGTGTGCAATGTAATTTTTTTATTGGCATGTTTTTCATATACTACTGTAAGTGAAAATCACTTTTGGTTTCCAAGAAAGGTGCAAGAATAGAATTTTTGGATAGCAAGGGTTACCTGTATCTACTGTAAATAACCTATTAACTGAATTTGAACATTGAAGAGTGCAGTTCTTTCTTGGGGTTCACCAAGTCTTGTGCATTACTAATTAATCCAACTTGTACATTCATCCAAATGAATGGAGAGTAGTCAGTCGCTTGCTGGGCTCCCGCCAAGTTGCCAGATACCACCGTTTGATTTAATACTGAAAACCATAACATCACATCATTGGTTGATTGTACCATTGGATTGGAGGTACTGTACAGTGAATTTATTCAGTTGAGGGTTATCTTGAACTTGTGATATATTTTTTTAATTGAATTACCTAATGCTGTATGTTGGAGTGGTCCCTACTCAGGTACTAAACTATGCCAAAATTTTACTGAGTTTTGCCACCATTGTTATACATTTTAGATGTAGTACTGTACATAAGTGTGATATTGTAATATGTATATACTGTAATATTGACTGGACCTTAAGAAAACTTATTGTTTAAGTATCCATTTTACCTTACATTTGCTGTAGTTTTAATATAACTAACTGATTTTGTTAAGAAAATTCCTTCATTGTTATTATTAATCATATTTAACTTCCCATCATACGTTAAGACACCGACAAACTATCATGAATGTGGAATGAAGAAAACCAAAGTGTAAAGAAAACCTTCTATTTTTCTTCAACATGTTACAATGTGATCCTTAAAGTTTGTGTGAAGACATGAAGAATAGGGATCGGTCAGTGCAGAAACTAATGTGTACATAGCACATGCACTCAACTCATTTACACATCACATTCTTGGACTAGTAGACAATTAGTCCACACAGTCTATTGTGAGCTGGATTTACCGCCATTAAAATAGAAATGTAAGTAACAGATGTCTACTTTCAAATGAGTTAATATTACACCCGGGAGCTGTCCTCACAGATCACTCAAGTTTGGTCGCACATCACCAAGACTTAAAGTCATAGTGTTGCCATGGACATCAAAACCCTGCCTTTAACAATATAAAGCATTGCAACAAACAAAACAAATTCTTTAATCAAATTACCAAAGTGTATAATTTTTTTTTCTTAACAAATTAGTAACAGTCCATTAGGTTTCAAAATTGTAACCTATTTGCAACTGAACCAGAAAAAACTGATAATACTTTCAAATGAGGCACATTACTACCCATTACAAAAGATGTTTGTCTCAATGAAACCTATTTGAAAAGTATAGAAGTAAATCAACAGGGAAAAATATTTCAACCATCACATTCGCTAATATTCAAAGTACTGTACATTTTTTTTTCAATTCAAACATTAAAAAAATAAATTACTAATTTTAACATTATATTTCTTAAATAACACCAAGATATATCTGAGACTTTTATGTACTAGTTAGAGAAATAGTGAAATCTACAAATATTGTCTCACACCTGATATAACTTAAAAAGACACTATATTGTCCCAGATATTGCACAGGAATGTGAACAATAAGAAATGTCTCATTATAAAAAAATATTTTAATTTTAATAGCAATGTACAACAAAAATGATAATTCCCTGAATAATTAATCTGAAGACATTACTGTGTGTAAACACACAAATATTTTATGGTAAACTGTACACGGATAATTTAAGTGCATCTTGTATCAGAATCCTATATCAGCAGCAATTTAATAAATTTGATGTAAGATACTATCACAAATTATACAAAACCCTAATTATCTTCAAGAAAAATGAATTGGTTAACAAAATAACATGACAATGCAGAGCTGACCAAACTAAGACCTCAGACAATTGACCTCCTCGTTCATAACATAGTGGCAGGCAGGCAGCATTTCTCTCTTTGTGAGTTAATTGCATTTGGGAATGAGAGAAATATTAATGCTCCTATCTAAACAATTTGTACTATACACAATTTTGTATTCAGAAAAATTGTGTTGAAGAGACCATTCTGCAGTTCATTGAAAGCACAAAAACTTAATTTAGGTGCCTGTGGGCAGAGCAGAAATTGTGTCCCTCAATCATCGGAAAACTTTTTACCTGTCTGAAGACAAGTAAAATAAAATATAAATAAACATGTCAACCCACTGATCAAAGTTCACAATCCACACTCTTTCCAAATGCACATTCAAAAAGACAGTTTAGCATAAATCATGGCTGCATGAGCTGAATGGGAATCTTATTTACATGTCTTTCTGGCCAAGAGTAATAATAAGCATCTCTTCCACATATACTCTGCTCTTTCATAAAAATAAACTCACTTTGTAGTCTTTGAAATTGTTGCTACTGATGATGCCAACAAGGTTAAATATCACTAATGGCATTTAAACGTTCCAATGATTAGCAGTTTTGGACATATATCTTACCACTGGAATCTTCTATCTTATCATTTGTGATTCAAGACAGTCCACTCGGGGAGAATGACTAATATCAGGTAAAAGAAGGCAGCTTTTGATTGATATCATTAACTTTATACTAAAATGTTTTTAAATCAAGTGTAAGGTCTTCTAATAAAATTATTTATCTCTGTATAAATATGACAGGATAGGTATGGACAGTTGGCCAGCTGTTACTTCTCACCTGCCAGTCTCCCAGAGCAGACACATCCTTCATATATACTGGATAATAAAAATTATCCATCATATATATATAAAAAAAGTGAAGTTTCAATTTAAGAAGAAATATTGCATATAAACAGTCCAGTCACAGAAATGTCTATGCCACTAGAGATGCAGTAGTACAAATTGTACTTCACTTTGTACTGAATCCCAAGGCTGAGACGGCCCCCCTCCAGTCACATCACACCAAACCCCCCACAGACTACATCTCTCCAGTGCCACTCCCACTACTTTCATAATAATAATAAAAATAAAAAATCAGTTATCACTTTTACGAGCCAACACCCAAGGGCCAACCCCTGCAATTGTACTTCACACAGGCTGCACTAGATTCTTTTCAATAATTAAATAATGTTCACCAACAAGCATTTTGTCTTGCCTGACCCACATCATCCCACATTTCCAGTCTTGTATGAGAAACCTCAGGCTTTGGTGCAGCCACTCTCTAGAGTAGGGAGGAATACCATATTTTGCACACTATATCAATCCTTGAGGTCTTTAAAAAATAACTACTCAAGGAATGAAATTTTTCCTATGCATAAATACTCCACGCCATCATTTTACCCACCCACACTGAAAATGGGCAACAAACACACAATTCTGGAAACAAAACAAAAATAAAATACAAGTAACCTACTTCACTGGCCATATTTGATAATGACCTCCAATCTTCACACTGCCTTGCACTGTCACACTAATTACAATACTTTAAATACCCTCGTTGTTAAGTGTCCTTCCCCGCCCCCCTCCCCAGCCCATCGACACACCCTCCCATTTTTTTGTTTACATTAACTGATATCAACATCAGAATCATCGAGCATGTCCTCGTCTTCTTCATCTCCAAAGGACGATGGGGATGCAGATTCTGGTCTGTGTTCATTTTGGAGGGAGATGAGAGAGGAGTGGCGGGATATAACACCTAATCCACTACTTGCACCACTACTGCCCGTATGTGTCATGGCACCCACTTCTAAGTCGTCTTCTCCAAAGACTTCAGTCCCAAGAATACTTAGATCCTCACGTAGGTTCAACTTAGGTTCGTGGTTACCTTCCGCTAAATCTGTCGGAATAAGAGCAATGGTAAAAAAGAGAGAAAATATAAGTACCTTAGTTTAAAAGATGAAATCATGCAAATTAGACAGGATTTTCTTTCATGTTCAAGCAGAGTGAAGTATAAGCTGGGTTAACATTATGGGATATAAACAGGCGAGTCATTAGCCACTGTTACAGACAATACGAATCCAATAAGGTAGTATACATTAGTAAATGAGTCGGTAAGTACATGTAAATTAGGTGGAAGTTAACAGTGAATGTGCAAGAAGGTAGTGATAAAATATGATGAATGAAGATAGAATGGAAGAAGTGGCATGTTTCACATTTCTGGGAGTGGATGGCTGCAGAGACTATAAAGTGATTTTTGAGTAAGGATTTGCCACCGGTGGGTGACGACAGCTTGTACAAGGAGGCGGGCAAACCAGATTTGAAGCCTTGCCATGGAAAAGGATTAACAGAGCAGAAAAAACTATAGCAGTAAGAATGAGTGCATGACAAAGAATGAAATGTACATAGGAGAAAAAGCTGAAGAAAGGCTTTACAATGCCTGAAAAATCATTTGAGTAATACAAGAAACAAGATGATAACAAAACTATCTAAATACTGTATACAGAAAACATACCTGTAACATAACTTTCAAGAGCCTTTGGCACCATAGATTTGGCTCTCTCAAGATCAACATGTGAACACTGAGCTTTCTCGAGTCCTGAGGAAAAGCAGTACAGATTACTGAACAAGCTTTAAAGAAAAATAGATAAAAAAAATGTACATCCAGAAAAATATTTAAATGCATCAGTTCAAATTTCAAGAAGCATTTAACTACTAATCAAATTTGTCATGTAAAATGAACAATGTTAAATTTTCTAAACACTAATAATAAATAACTCCATAATAACAGTACCACCAAAGTACTAACCTAGGGCCATGCCCATTCGTTTCAAAACTTCAATGTCATCATGGATTTCAAATGTGTCATCAAAGTTGAATAGATATTCAGTTCTGCAAAGAAGATCGGACAAGTCAATAAAACTTCCAAAATACCCCCACTGTTCCCTATAATTAAATCTCTAAGATATTAATGCAGTTCAAAACACATACAATTAATTGAAGAAAGATTGCCTTTAAAGGAAACTTTATTATTTTTTTAGGACAAACTTTATAAAAAACTTAGTTTCTACTTGCTTAAATAACCATCTGTAATACTGTGTCTAATGTCCATTTGCAATTTTTTTCCTCAACCAGTGGTACAGATTAAAAATTATATATTGTATTGTACATGATATCATTTCCACCTATCTCAATTTAATTAGCCCTAGAGACTTCTGAGTTAATCTTATACAGTACAAGAAAGGAATTGCAACCTCATGAACAAAAAATCCTTATATACAATACAGTATGTACCAGTTAGAAAAGTCCACTCACTTGTCATTGGAGATTGAACAGTCAATGATTGTCTTTTTGTTTGTGTTAACGATGATAAATGGTAATTGGATGGCAGAGTTTGGTGATGGAGCTCCATGTTTCCGCTCTTCCGTACGGTTACGCTCCACCAGGTTTTTGAATGCAATTTGCTGGAGGAAAATATGAAGCTTCAGGAAAAGAAGTCACAGTATGATTCAGCATTAACCTACTTCCAAGCCTTCTTCCACTTAATGCAGAGTAGCCTGAAACCACATCCTTCCCCAAAACTAATTCAAAGCCATGTTCTTTACCCCCAGTGTTACTTCCTCCCACTTCTATCCCTTCTTCAGTCAAACTTAGAATTACAGTACAGTACACAAATAATTTCAAACATTTCCTTCATATTTCAATTTACTCACATGCAATAAAAAGTAATGTCTTACTTGTAATATGAGATCTTGTAACTGTTGTGTCTTGAGTTTAATGCGTTCTACCCGTTTATGTCTTTCCTGCTCCAGTTTACGGCATTCCTGGGCTGAATTTGTCGGGAGACCCAACCACCGTATTTCTTTTTTCTCTTTACTGATGATGTTCATTGCCATGAGAACATTGAGGGCATCATAGACTCGCCGTCTAATGTTCTTCTGGTCATACTGAAATATATAATCATGCTCAATGTTATGATACTTTGGAGAAATAAAAACATTTTCGCCCTCAATTATCAAAACTTTTCTTGTGGAAAAAAAAAAAAAGCAATTAGTAGTTGATTAAAAGAATACTGTATATCATTGAATTTCCTTCACAAGATTATTTTTCCCAAACTACAGATTAGGCTAATAAAACCCTTAACAAGATGTGTCATAAAAAGATAAACAAAAGCAATAACACCAGAGTATTAATAAGGATGAAAACTTGCTGTTATGGACCACAGTTGAATCAATCTTCCCTATTGACAGAGTAACTATCTAATCCAAATTTGTAAGAGGCTAATGATTAGAAACTAGAGAATGGTAACTAAACAAGAAAGAAGACTACAGTAGTGTAATTGCCTGAATACAATAGTTTCTTTAAGCCAAGATTACAACACAATCTTCTTACATATTCACACAGACAGACAGACAGTCAAGAGTGGCTCATAATTACCTGGCAAGCCAAAGGTTTACATGAAATTTACCGAGGGCACAGTTACTCTATCAAAGATTAACAACACATTCCAAATGTTCATTTTTCTTCGAGCTGGGGAATTATATTTTGGGAGTAATTCACTGAAGCCCATTCAGTTACCGATACTTGTACTGTACTTAAATGCATACTAAAACAAATAAAGAACTCCACTGGTTTGAGTAAGCAGAAAATTACTTAATACCATGACATTTTTGTTATAAATAGTTACACTGATTATTGAGAATTCAGCCTGTCTTTAGGTCTGTGCTCTGTAAGAATGAAAGCATGAAAAACCTTTTTACCCTCTCAAAATATAGTTGCCATTATATCCAGCTATGCCATCTAACCTCTAATATCATTTTCACTTGCTCCAGCAGCTAAATCATCCATAAAATGACAGCAAGCTGCCTCCAGTACACCTAAGCCATAATGACTCACATTAGCACCATCAGATGGCGATGCACACCGGGTAGGATCTGTAAACTCAGAAACCAGTTCATCAGCCACTTCATTGTATGATGTTGTACCCTTAGCCTTAACCTTCTCGCACACCTTCATAGAGAAGTGACGAAGACCTTTACCGCCCTTTTCACTCTTCCGCCGTTTACTAAAAAGAAAACAATTGCAACATAGTAAACTTTCAAAATCAATATGTATTATTTCTACAATATTAGTCTTATTAAAACATTCATCTTCTTGACATTCCAGGGATACTTAGACAAAACATTACATAAACCAACTATACTGTACTGTATTCACTTTTTATAAATCAAGCTTTCAGACCACATTTCTTAAAATGTAGACTATTTACATTATCATTAAACATGGCAAGTTATAAAAGAACCTCCCCCTCCCATCTTTGAAATGGAACTAACCTGTTTCTATACTGTACCTGTAGTCTCACTTTCTAAATAAATCTAGTCATTCTACTGACCTTTCAATCAATCAACCATAATACACTAACAAAACATCCTACCAGATGAGGTAAACCAAACGAGGTGGATTTAAGGACCATTATCAGTAACTCAATTCACTACCCTGTTTTACAATGCAAATGGCTTACCAAAATTATTATTCCCAACATACTATCACCTCACATATGAACTTTTACTTTTCTGACCAATCTTAACTTATTAATATACAGGTATTCTTCTAAATTCCCTTAGCTTTATTATCATACTTAAAAACCTTATGTCATCTCCAATGCTCCATGATACTTAACTACCCATCATACTAAGAAAGGCAAGGTAAACTGGCATGAACGATAATGAGAAGGTTGCATTATGTCTCGCAACAGTGCCTGTATTGCTTACAACCTTAACCAATATTCAGTCTTACCTTTTTATCATCTCTAGAGCATTAAGATCCTTGCCTTGTACTATTCACTGATAACTTAGGTTTCCATTTCACTACTCTGTCAATGTGAAATAATTAATATGCATAAACCTTTACCACTGTCAGTTTATGATCTCCTTATGTAAACTCATTAAAAATTTAAAACAAAATCAAAAGAAAATACAGTACAGCATATTAAAAATTTACTTAAACCATGCATCAACAAACCTTTCCACTCCGTAATCAAAATCGAAGTCGTGTCTTTTTCTTGCACCGCTATGATCCAATATCGGCGTGGTAATAAGACTTTTTGGAGGTGTATTGCTTATGACTTGCGTACTGCCGTGTTGTTGCTGTTGATGGTATTGCTGCTGCTGCTGCTGTTGTTGTTGCTGGTGATGAACCTGTGGGTGTGTTGTTTGGTGGGCTTGAAGAGTCTGTCAGGCCACAAAAGTAAATACAGTACTGTACTGAACTCTTTATAGCTATAAGTAAATGTGATAAAGCACCATGGTACTAGATCAGTCAGAATTACTGTACATAACTAACACATTCATTCCTGGCATCATGATAGCCTTCACCACTCGACAGCAAAAGCTGAATGTATGCAATCATCCTCATTTTTGAAGCTAAAGTATATATACCCCAATAAAAGATTCAGCTAAACTACACAGAACTTGTAAAGATCAAGCCATTTCCCAATGTAGGCAAATCTTAAAACAAAGACTTACAACTGGGTTGGCAGTTAAGGATCCCGTTTGCGTTCGAATAACAACTGGAGAGGTAGTGAGCGATGATCGACTGGCCATCATCGTGTGTTGCTGCTGATCCATGCTTCTTAATGGGGACTTCAGGTGTGCACTGTTTACTGGTAACATCACTTGACTTCCTCCTGGAAATAGTTAAATAAATAAATATATATATATATATATATATATATATATATATATATATATATATATATATATATATATATATATATATATATATATATATATATATATTAACATTCACCTGTACACATACAATAATTCAGCTAAATGGAAAAATTTATGCAGCAAAGTTCAATACTTTGTAATGAAAACAGGTGTGGTCAACAAAGATAATTCCATAATTTTAAATTTTATATATATATATATATATATATATATATATATATATATATATATATATATATATATATATATATACAGTATATATTATATATATATATTATATATATATATAGATAGATATTTTATTGACCACAAATTATGAATACAGAGTTTACACTAAAATTTTACATAAAATGGTCCAAATGCAAATGCATTAAAACACCAAGCAATTTTTTCCTTGGTTCTTGGCATTACTTGCTGCTGGTGATGGATGAATGACCAAGAGTGCTCTAAAATTTTTGAGAGATCTATTATGGATTGTATTTGATAATCGTCATGTGATACTTGTTAACTTGCAATAACTGAGGCTTAGTATGTAAAGGATGACACATACAGTATTGTATATGATGAAAGCTAGCACACAGGGTGACAGCTGACAAATTTAATTAAGTTAGGTATTTGCACCTTTTCACGATACCAGTTCACTTGTGGAGAATGACAGTATGTGGTGACTGCAAGTTGTTCTTAAGTGACTGCCAGCCGTATTTTGTGGCTGGCAGTTGTATGTGGTGATTTAGTTATCTGGTAACTGAGTGACTTATTTGTTAATCCGAGTGACTGACTTAAATGTGGTGATTGATGGGCGGCATGTGGTGACTGACAATTATGTGGATGGCGAATCATGGCGGTATGCCAGATGTAACAATTAAAATGTTGGCGATTCACTGGTAACATTACTTATTTTGAGGTGATTCAAGGGTTACTATGCGGTCATTCCTTCAGTGATACGTAATAAATGGCGGTTGGTATGTGGTGATTGCCAGTCGGTATGAGGAACTCAACAAACTGAAGGGGGTAACAATGATGGAATGGAGTCGGTGTGCTAGTTATCTCGCACAGTAGGTTGGTGTGCTGGTGGCCTCCAGACGTACTCCATGCTCAAAGAGAAAACATTTTCTTTGATAAGAACTTGCCTAGTGACATTCAATGACCTTGAGGGGGTCTCATCAAACTGCGCACTCATGCACTCACTTCTGCGCCTAGGCATGCATGCAGCTGTCTGTGCATGTAGTCTCATTATTCCCATATACCTATTCTGTCAACTAACGCCACGTATCAGAATCTTAATGCTACAGCCTACAATTCAAGCTTTTTCCTCAGTACATTAAGTTATTAAAGAACTGAACATGCTTGCTGCTTTTTATGAACCCCAGTTGATGTTAAAAATTGAGATGGAAACGCCAATTTATTGATTTTTCAAATTTAAAATCTACAATATACGAACATAATTCCTTGTCCTACTCTCCAACGCGGTGTTTAATTTCGGTTTCTAATTTTTTAAATTGTTATATCATATTAGTTCACTTAGTTGTCTATTTAAACTTATCGATGATTATCGAAAAAAAACCCCAGCATTGGTTGATTATGCACTTACGTATATTTTGGGCATTGAGCTGACCCTGCTTAGCAGGAATGGCAATGATCTGGCCGCTGGGCAACTTATTCGTCTGTAACACAGTCTGTCCCTGTGAGAAGATAAAAATACAATATTAACCATCAACTGTAAGAATATCATCATATACCATAAAATTTTACTAAAATATTCCTACACATACGAAAAAAATAGTTATAGTGTTTTCCTGTTAAGAATTTATTCCGTTTTATTCATAAACTTAGTCCCATTGAAAATAAATTAACACGCTCAAGGCATAACTTCTATTTAATAACGGCTTGTCAATAATAAACATTGTACGGTAGATTCTTGGGACTTGTTATCGTCATCATATGTCGGGAGTTGGATAAGCAGCAGTTTCTCACTAAACCCCTCCCCATCAACGTTGAAACAAATCACGCCTTTCTACATCATTCATTCGTAGCGACCTAATATACTGTGCACATCCACCAAAATATGACAACGAACCCATATTTACGTGTTAGAAAAGGAAAGGTGGTATCAGAAAGGGTTGAAAGTAACGGGGGTTAATAAACGTGACTAATGGATCCGGTGTTTTGCGAAAGTTCTACATCAAAAATTTCTACCTCTGCATTAATGCGCATGCATGGCCATGTGTAGAACCAGAAACCATTCGTCCGGTGCATCTAAACAGACGCCACTAGACTCGAAAGAATATCCTCAAACTCTTTGCTTAAAAAATATCGACTTACAAGTGGAAGTAGGTGACTTTAGTTATTGCTGGTTGAATATAATAAGTATATGTAGCTAAAAGTAAGGATATTGCTAGCTGTCACTTTCATTTTCCTCAGTTATATTGAGTGAGAAAAATGGGTAGATATTTCACGGAATGCCGGTAAGGTAATGACAAAAAAGCTACATTATATGAATTAAGCAGCAGGAACAAGCTGGTCCATTCCTACTGCAATCAGATAACTTCAGTTTTATTAAATTGACAGGCAATATTTTTCTATTTTCAATAATAACGCGATATTTATACAAGTGAAGATTATATAGCACAGCTTCAGTAATACAAATGCAGCAGCAAAATTAGTATTTACAATTCTAGCTGTCAGTTTAACGGGCCCGGCCAGACATTTACACTAGTGCGGACGGACACCCATCCCTGTAGTTCCCTCGAGGCTTCCCGCAGGTGCGAGCAACTGTTCGGACAAGCGACCAGATCAAATTTCAGACCACAGCCAAGAAGAGTAAAAGAGACTCCCTTTTACAGCACGGTCTCAAGAGCTACCACACCCTTAGTTATAATTAATAAAAGAAAATCTGCAGACTACAATTTTACCTTGATCCCGCTTGTTGAAGGCCAGTAAATATGTGGTTGGATGGTCTGTATTTTATTCTTAACGGTGCCAGGCATGGTACCGCAAATGCTCGAACTCTGAACAAGTGGTTTATTGGGTGTAATATTTTCGATTTCTCCCCATAAGTCACTGAATGAATCAAATGCCTCACTCAGCAGAAATTCTACCTCACCCTCTGTAGTCATTGCTGATGTATTCCAATGACTACCACACCACAAATTTAAATGTCTTTAGTTTATTGCACTTTGTTATATAGCTGTCCTGACAGCAGCGAGTCAACTGTCATTAATCCACTTACTTTAGGGACGCATACTCAAACTTCATTTCTGCTAAGGACGATTTCAAACTATTACTTTCACTTTGAAATAATACCATAAAAGCCATAATTTACTTATCAACTTAATATGACTTAGCCAAATAAATGTCACACTAAAATAAGTTTTCACAGGCCTCCCTCGAAGAACTGTCAATGCGAGTTACTGAGCCAAGAGCGTAGCTAACCTAAGGCCAGTCCATGTTTCCCGGGGAACCCAGCGTTCCCGCGCTTTTCGCCATGCGGTTTCTCACCAAAACAACTTATGGCTAACTTCTGTAATTGGATGGCTTTAAGCCTTCTTTTCTTCAATATTAATGGATAATATAAGAATAATAATAAATACAACGTGAGCTATACAAAACATATGAGAACTTTGTCTTAAAACGTTATGACACTGTCAAGTGAGAAACACTACTACACAGCCAGATGATTACCCCCCTCCCTCCTCCACGTCCCTCCCTTGCTGCCCCCTCTGCCACCCAGCATATCCTGCTCCAGTAGGGGGTATCCAGCCATTTAAACCATAACAATGTGAAAATTAAGATAAATAAGGTTTTCCGAGAAGAATCACCTCCATTACAATATAATATATATACTATAAATCTTAATATCTGCAGTTAAATTATTCTGAGCACCACATCGCGATTTTTAAATCCCACCAAACCATTACGACCAGTACATCATCTGTTCGCCGTAACCCCGATACTGACACCTAACCCCGATACTGACATTAAACCCAGATAAAGTAACTTTACGTACTTTAATTTGAAAATGTGTAATAAATGAGTAATGGCTATATTCTAAATACCAGGAAGCCCCAAAAGAAAACTAAAACACGAATAAGCAGTTAAATGACATAGAAAAGCCCTTAGCCGAGGCCGGTAAACAACGGTCACAATTCCAAACTGGACAACCCAAGGGCTTCCTTCAGAGGGCAGCCCCACACACACTGGTAACAAACATGCCACTATTTAAAATACCCACAACTGTTATACACAAACCAGGAACACTGTCACCATCACACACATCAAAGTAGGGCAGAATGTGGCGACTCTCCAGAACCGATATAAAATAAAACGCCTCAAAACGTGCTTGCAACACTCACCGACAAGACAATATAAAGGGTAAAACTAGTGATAACAGAAGATACAAGTCAGAGCAACAGATACACGTACGGACTCTTCCACCTTCATTTTTTGGCGGTCGGATCCCCGCAAATGATTTTCCTACACGTTCCCTCTTCCGGTTGGCAGTTTCCTCTTACATTCCAACTTCTATTATTATCTGTATCGGCGACGACGCCTCGGAAGTAAGGGACAGTAAAACACATGTGTACATTAGCACCCTGCAAAATGAAAATAAGATCACGTAAAGATTAGGAACCCAGCTAATGATCAAAACCCCTCCCAAACACTACCTGGGGGGGGGGGTTAGGTTACTGTTAAGTGTTTAATCTTTAAGGGGATAGAAGTTGGGGTTCCAAAAATCACTGTCGTTACATCACTTTAGGTTTTATACCGTCCTCTGGTTTTCATTACGCAAAGTTACTGTTCTCAGTATCTTCTATCTTCACCTCCTTTACAAACACCTGGCAGTGGCATTGGAAATCCTCATTGTTAACTTTTATATATTCTTGGTAAAGGTGAAGAACGAGGTGTACAGTGCGTGCTGTTTCCTATCTAGAATACAGTATACAACCCTTTTCAAACCCAATAACGAAGAATTACTGCTACTCAAAACTCTACCACCACCGTGCGTTCTTTTAGTCGATTTGACATGAACGCAATTATAACTGACGTGAAGATAGGTTCCGATAGGGTTGGTCAGAAGTATGATGAATCTGTCTACCCAGAATCTAGGAAGCATTTATTTTCTTCACATGGTGGGCTCCTAACACCCCCCCCCCCTTCCTCGGACTATTCTCAGCTTAGCTAGACATTTGGCGTCACCAGGGGGGTTGTTTTTGTCCCTCACTTGGTACACGTCTCATCGGTGGAGGGGGGGGGGGTGAGGGGGAAGGGAACGCCGAGATTACACCGCAAAAGGTTAATCATTGGTTCATCATCTTTAAACGATACCGACACATTTCTCGCAACTAGAAATATTTTTCAGCCGATTTGATATTGCGCTTTCTTGCGAAAGTAAACTGGAACTAGTAATATACGTTCTCTTAACCTTTCCACTCCGGGTTGACTTCAAAGCCCATCACCTCCTGTACATGGCGAAGATCAAACTGGTGAATTTTTTTCTGATTAGCAAAACAAAAAATAATTCAAATATACAGTACCCACACTTGTATATTTATCACCTAAGCGGTGCAAGGAATAACATTTGCCCCTTTTATCACGACTGCTGTGCTCGAGGGGTGAATTTGGGGCGGCCAGCATCAGCGCCGCGTGGAAAGCACTTGGATGATGGGGGAAGACCTCACATCCCTCCACAAGCTTCTCTCACACACACACACACACACACGTCATCCAGGCTAGTTTCTACTGCTGTTTGCAATATCTGGCATAAGAGGCATTTTATGATATTCTTCAGCAACAACCCGGCATCATGGACTAATTCTATTATCAGTGACACGTTATTTAATGTTTTAATCGTGGACACGAATCAAATGATTAAAATTATCATACATATATACTTACATGATGCAACCATATATATATTTAATCATACCCCGAATACCGCTGATACAGGGTGGCTGGTAGTCCCTGGGGGTAAAGAATGGTATTAGCATGTTTTGCCATTACCTGTCACGAATGTCGGCTACGGGTTGATTCCTAAAAGACCAGTAATCTCTACTGGGGATTTGACAAACTGATTTATACGGAATAATAATAATAATAATAATAATAATAATAATAATTGTTTCCAGAGAATCTCTACTAATGCAAGAGCACTTATAAGCGTTTGTGGTTATTCGTATATAATTTGTTGCTAATATACGTGTTACCAGCCTCAGTACCTTTGGCCTTGGGTGGTCAAATATCTTTTTGAACAGCTAGTATATATTATCTACGGTTTCAATCGTAAGCAACCATTCAAAAAATTAAACTAAACATTAATTTTCCAACGGTAATTAACTGTACATGCTTAAAATATCTTGAGAGGATGAGAGCGGGCACAGTATCAATGGGAGGTGAGCATTGTTGTCGGATAACGGCCTCGAGACCCGTGACATCCGTGGCCGGCAGGGGCAGCCCAGGGAGTCGGTGAGGTGAGTGGTGCAAGATGTGGGCGCGATTTACGTCTCTGCCTTGGCTACGACTGCGCCAAACCACCTTCACTGGTTCAACCCATTGTTTAAAGTGACCTTACATACATACATACACACACTCATACGCACATCATGGCCACTTTCATAGCGTCAAGGATACGGGGCTCTTTCTATGTGTAAGTTAAGAATACAGGCTCTTACTATGGATAAGATAA